GTATTTACAGACGATTTTGTGTCGTGGACGCGTCATGAAACGCTAAAACAATAGTTAAATTCGCTAAAATCATAATTGCACATCATTACAAGATGAACAAAGAAATCCGTAACTAGGAGTAAACTTCTAACCGTTAATAATTATCCTTACAAATATTTTTAGTTACGTATGTAAGTTATTTCAAATTCAGAATCCACAAAAACTTAACATTAAGACGGATTTTCGTTTCATCGATAACTTTCACAAACATATGTGAAAAGAAAAATAAATTATAACAAAGTGAACGGGTTAATTAGGATTACAGAAGATATATGGATCGAGAAATTGATTGATAAAAATTACCTTAAAAAGCTTTGCGAGAATAAAACACCTCCTAAGTTTCTCTCAAATCAAAAGCTTGCCTAATCGAATTATTGCATAGAGTTAGATATACATGCCAGTAAAGTATATAATAGGTACTTAAGTGGGTATAATGTAGGTAATTACTAAAATTATAGAATACATTAGAAGTATTTAAATATTTCAGCGAGAACTACGCATCGAAGCGTCACTTAATTGTACGATAATTATTAAGAGGTTCGCCATTATATCGGATACGAAACCAATCCTGATTATTAGTTAGCCCGTTGGGCGTAATGACGAAAACAAATCACGCTATGACGGGATTGAATAGTAGGGGAACAAGGATAGGGCCTTTCGGAACGCGGGCCGCTCGCACCGATCGGGAAGACCAAATATAATAAGTACACGTTGGACAAGACGAAACATGAGAGAGATTTGTGGAAGCCTCGCGTGAACGAATTCTAAATATGAAGACAAACGTCGAGGTACGGTCAAGGCATACGAAAACAATGTTAAACGTTATTTCTAATTAGCACGTTGTATAGAACGCATCGTAAATATAATACAATATTGTTGTATCTAAGGCACATAATGTTTAGGCTTTCAATTATTCATCCATATCGTAACAATGGTGCTAATAAATAGAACAAAGGTCGTGAGGTGACACACGCGCAATTTTAAATAGAAATCGCCTAGTTTCTTGTTGCAAACATTGGGGCAAGGTTGTGCTTAGCCTGAGAGGCGTTTAACAAACTTAGAGCAACGTTCAGACCAAGAATGCTTATCTGAATAGCTTTAGTACAATTAACTCGAAAAGTAGAAATGAATCGCTTAAATTCCCGCGTGTATCACATACACACAAACTATTGCGAAGCTACGAACACAACTACTACCGGATCTACTAATTTTGTCATTAAAAAACGCTTTTTCATATTCAAACCGTCATTAATTTTTTAATCGTTTACAATCCATAAATTTTTCGTAACCGTAACAAATGCATTTCATACAACATGTCTATCCGCCTATGGTTTCAATATACTGTATTTTATTGTTACATTTGTTACATCCAACCAGCACCGGTCGCGCATTACAGCCAATCGTACAAAAAACAACTATTTCAATATAAGACACGTTCCAAATGAACAAATTTGATCACAGTCTAGAATTTTCGGCACCAATGAGCTTTTAAATTCGTCACCGTCTAATTATAACCGCCATAACGGTTGTAAAACGTTATACCGCTCTGATGTTACGCGACGAAATCGTGTGGGTAATCCGAATCGTGCAATCAACAAGCCTCGAGTGACTCTTTGAATTTTCCCGTTGTTTTTTAACCGTTTTAACTTTTTAAATATACTCCCTAATAAAGTCTACAGCTAGCAATTGACTAATCCCCGCCTTCAGCCTATTTGAACTATAATAGCTGTTATATAACTCTATAGTTTTTTTTCTGTGAAATAGCTATGTAATAATTGTACCAAATGGCTCTCTTAATAAAATCGTCACTCGGACGCCCAGCCAGCCGTAATAACTATATGAAAAAATATTCTGCGAGTCGATTGTCACGAATATGGAACTAGTTCAGTACCAATCACTAGCTTTACTAAAGCCGTCTTTATTAAACTATATATTATTATTCTTTTGAATTATTTATTGCTCGTCAATTATTGCTACGTTTCCTACCTTACTATTTGTCTAAATGTCTTAGTCGAGTGTTCAGCTAAAGGTTACAGAAAAGGTTAAAGACCGGTTAGGTCGGTGCCAAATAATACGATCCGCCGAATCGGAGAGAAGCCTGTTGAACGGAATATGTGAAAAATTATAAGTGACATAATGCGTAGGTGAAGTGGGACTTAATTTAGCGGCATAAAATAAATTACGACAAAGACTGTTTCTCTCTTTGCTGCCACAAATTTGGTGCTTTCTCAGCTGCCCAGTATTGACACCAATCGGTTCCGCTACGGAACCATACCGTACGGCACTAACGTAAATCTAAATCTATTAAAAATCGTGTATATATATTTGGATTTTATTAAGTGTAATTTGGCCACGTTTTAATTTTTTATTTATTTTATTTTATCATTAGTTCCCGCCCCTTACTAATAAACGTAAGGTTCGATTAATAATTGTAAATATTCTTTTTAGCTTCACTTTAAGTATTATTAAATTTACGTTGTAACTCTAATGACTAGCTATTCTCATATGGCCACGGGATATTAATGCTTGATTAAAAAAAAGAAATCAATTTTAGCACAAACCCTACAAATATGCAAGCGGTGAAGTTTTCGCGGTGAATTTTCCGACATTCCGAATTTGAAATGTCAGTAGCCGCAAGAAATAAATAATGGCGGACCAAATAAAGTTAAGTAATTGACTAAGTACGCCCTCACTGAAGTCGTTAGTGAGTTTCTTTACAGGTATGAGCGGATGGATTTAAAAGAACACTACAATTTACATATCCCTATTAATTAAGTTTTTTATTAGTTTTTTTTTTTTGTTAAAGGCACCTATTGAATGTTCCTCGACCATTGTCGAACTATGTCAGTCGATTTATTCTTGCTTTTGCGCTACGCAACATGCAAATAACATCACACTAGGCAAAAGAATTCTTTATACAAAGTGCTAGACATCCCCGACGCGTCCCATAGGCTTATTACGTACTAGCGACCCGCCCCGGCTTCGCACGGGTGCAATGCTGAATGTTTGTTTTCGACATAGCGTTAGAAACCTCTAAAATTATCAGTGTTTCTCTACTATATTATGCATGAATTATACATATAAACCTTCCTCTTGAATCACTCTATCTTTTAAAGATAACCGCATAAAAATCCGTTGCGTAGTTTTAAAGATCAAAGCATATAGGGACAGACAGCGGAGGCGACCTTGTTTTATACTATGTAGTGAAACCTGTCGCTCGTTTGAATCTTTACATGAATGAATAAAAAGTAATTTTTAAATGTCTTATTAGTGAAACACCATAAATGAGTGACTAAAATGCTCGTTGAAGAACAGTTGATGATTTTAGCTTCACATACTTTTTAATTTGGTAATGTTCTAGCAAAATCAAGAATAAATACGACACGCTCACGGCTTCTATTGTAGATCTAAACTAATTTCCTTAGCGAAGGCTCGTCTTTCTTATATACTCGATCAATAAATTAATTTCATTTTCATCGTAAACTAATATGCTTATCCTAACCTTTTCAATACAAAACACACAACAATGAAACAAAAAAACAAATCATCATATCACACTTTCGTCAATTGCAATGCGTCTTGACGAACATTGGAAGCTTCTGTTATCTACACGACAGCTTCCCCGAACTGCCTTATAAGGTCAGCAAAATAATTTTCCGTAAGCTGCACTTTAATCAACACTATTTTTTCACTAAATTACTGGAAGGCTCGATCATCATACTTGATTTATATTCTATAAAAATATTAGAATATATAATGTCTATTTTTCGTAGCGTCAAATTTTATACATCACTAAATAATTATTATTAGTATTGTATTTAGTTGTCGCCTCAATAATTATTGAATTGAAACTACCTCAGATTATCTGCGCGCCGTTCATTTAAGTTCTAAATTAACTCTCTCTACTAGATGGCGCTCTTTCATAATCAATTACGTCGTCTTTTTATTTTTAATTTCGTGTTTTTGGTAACATTGGCGCACGCACAGATAACCAGTACTTAACTTTTTCTTATACAACCGTTGCCGCGGTCTTCAATTTTAATATTTATTCATATATTTAACAATATTTACACTCACCCCCGCGTAATGTACGCCACACCTTTTGAGGTTCAAAACTTAGGATAATTTCTCTCTGTTACACAAAAAAAATGAGGAGAGGCAATTCGTGTCAATTATCTAAGTGTAACGTTATTCAAAATTTATGATTCAAGGTTGTCACAATTTTTTTTTTGTTGTCACAACAAAAAAAAAAGGAAATACGTAGCTTTCCTACTGTATCCAGGACTTGTATGCCACAAAGAGATCAATCACGGTCTAAACTCGTTCAAACAGACTACTTAAAATTCCTATAAAGAAATAACAATTCAAAAACTTAACTATCTTTATAAAATATGCTTGAGACATATTCTCTACACGTATCTATATATAAGAAGCTGCTGAAATTTCGTAATTACAAAACCAGCAATCATAGTTCATGCGTTTATATATTTCATATCCATTTTATGCGTTTACAGGCATAATGTGGCAGACATATTACTATCCCAATGGTGACCATTACGCACAACCCACACAATTTTGGCGATGGTTGATTATTGTAATTACATGGACGCAATGAGCTCATTCATGGTCACCATTTCGTACGCTGTGTTAATTTGAATTTGTTTCTAAAAATCCAACGATAGAAACAAAGTTGATCAACAATTCTGGCAGCAGTGGCAACGGAAAAGAAACGTTTAACACATTCCAAATACAACTGATAAGGGTGATTGACGGATAAAAATAACAAACACTGCAACGGGTGAGGCCGTTAAAGTTCTGGCCGGCGGCCATTTGCCGCTGCGGAAGAAGAAAACGGAACCGTCGTGCGGTGCCGCCGGTTAGTCGGCGCCCGGCAGCGGTCGGTGCGCAACGGGCCGCCAGTGCGGCGGCGGCGCGGGCGTCCACCGCGGCGGCGGCCATCACGGCGAGCGCAGCGGCTTGTCCGGCGCGATGTCCTCCGACGTGTCCACCACTTGGCCCACGCCGGAGGTCGTGTCCATCGCGGTGCCTTCGGACGTGATCACGTTCGATTGGAAGAACCGCTCTGGAAGTTTCGATGGCACTCTCAATATAGGTATGAATTCATCAGCACCATCATACTATCGACTTTAACAAAATGATCAACTCAAACATACATATCACTTTTATTACCACCATCAACTTAATTATTGACATAAGGATCTTTATCGACAATTATTAACTTCAACTATCCATTTGGCCAGGCCTCCTTGGCCTGGTACTTGTTAGCCTAGGCTAGAAGTTTTGAACACACTCTTAATATAGTTATGAATATCATCAGCACCTTCATAACTATCGACTTGAAAAAAATGATCAACATAAACATACATATGACTTCAATATAATTACCGCCATCAATGTAATTATTGACATGAGATCATTATCGACATTAAAACAAATATTTACTTCAACTATCCATTTATAAACTATAATTATTACATCACAACCAGTTTGGTTTTACAACGGGTCGTTCTAAAACCGATGCTGGTGTAGAGCTGATCAAACATATATTTGAGCCTTAGGAGAGTTCACAGGATGCTCTGTTTGTCTTTTGTGATCTTTCCTTTTCCTTCAAGGCTTTCGATTGCATGAATCATGAAACGCTGACCAGGAAATTGAGCCATTATGGAATTAGAAGTACCGCGCTTGACCTCATTAAGCCATTTTTATCTAATAGAATTAAAAAGTTGCAATTAATGGTGCTAGTTCTTCTGGTTCGACGGTATCTATGGGCGTTCCCCAGGGCTTGATTCTCGGCCCATTTCTTTTTCTCATTCACATCAATGATCTTCCTTACTTTATAGGGAATAAACACGATATAGTGTTATTTGCCGATGATACTTCATTAATTTTTAAAATCGATTGACACTTGACGAGGTAATAAAGCTATGTCAAACATAGTCTATAGGTTTAATACTTACAATTTAAATGGTAATAAAACTAATTCTTTATTACTTCAACTTTAACTAAATGATCAACACGAACATACATATCACTTTCAACATTATTATCAGCATCATTGTCATTAAAGATAATGTAGACATGATGATCATAATTGACGTTAAAACAATTATCAACATGGATTATCAATTTGAGTGACTCCCTCAAAATAATAATTGTAATTATCATGGTAATTCATCAGTTAGGGCCACCTAGTACAAAGTAAGGTCCCTGACATAGGAAGATTATATACTGTTCACAGAACCTGTTTCTTTGTTTTGTTTACCCTTGATTCATTTTTCATCCACATCTATATGATTACTTTAAACAATATGATCGCCGTCTACAAGTTAATTCAAGCCAATTAAACACGTTTAACATCCCTTACCATCGTCCAACAAAACGACGTGGTCCGGACCGCCAGGCGCCGTCATTATATTAAACTCCTCCTCCAATGTTGGGAAAGGGGCGTTCCACCTGCAGTTACGATCGTCATGATATAATTTAGGATGCAGATGTACCACTGACTCGTTCGAAAATCGTACGTTAACTGACATCATCAGTAATCGTATGACTTTGGCGGTTAATAAATATCGTATAGCTCTAAATATCAAGAAGATCATAGTTTTTGTCTTATGTGACAAAATGACAAACGAGCTCTCACCTGATGGTAAGTGATAACCAACGCCCATGGACATTTGCAATACATAGGGTTGCAGATGCGTTGCCACCTTTTAATAAAGTGGGCCGCGGCTACCTCACTCACCAGACGAAACGCAGAAGTGTAACACTTCTACTTCGCCCCGGTCTTCTGTGAGGTCGTGGTACTCACCCAGACGGACCTGTCCATTCGTGTAACAGCGAACACTGTTGCGTGGTCCTACCACAGTTAAGCCGTTTTATGGTTTACCCATGATTATCTTAATCTTAGATTGACAATAAAGAAAATAGAATATTTTTATAAGTTTATACACAAAATATATTCGTAAATGTTTCATGTTAAAACTAGTCATGACTCGACTGCACAGTTCCTTAGTGAGGTGTGGTCTGAATGGACTCTGTACAGTGTTTGAGTAGCCGAGTGTTTTCTTTATAGACTGTTAATATACTTGCATTTTTGTTACAAGCCAACTCAATGCTGTACAAATAATAAGATCACTATTTTGTTGAAGGCACCCGATTAGACCACGGGCTGCAATTCCTGAGTTACTGAGGGCTTTCTTTATGGACTGATAGCATCCTTTGAATTTTCGTATCATAAACCAACTCAATACAGTTTTACAAATAAAATGGGTCACTCTTTTTTTGAAGGCGCTTAAGTGGCAACTACCCAAATAGGCCATGGGCAGTGTTGCCAACTGTTAAAAAAATACTCCGAAAGCAATTTAGAAACACACAAACTTCCATTGTACATTTTTTCTTCCTAAATTTAGGACAATGTTGGTATCCGTGACCACGGGTAACATACCGAGCTAAGATATGCAAAATCAAAAGAGTTTTTTTGTGACGAGTCCTAACATTTCCAGACAAATTAAACAGGCGATTTTTTTATAAAATTTAATTTTACCTATTTATACTAATAGTCCTTAGTGTTAATGTTAATCTCCCATGAGATATATGGCGGATAGCTTGGCTGGTACCTGGGGGGTGCGCGGGGTGGGGGTCGCGGCGCGTAGAGGCCAAGGCCGCCTGGTGGTGAGCCGCCGCCACCACCAGCCAGTACCGCGCCGCCGCCCAGACCACCATAACTGAACACCTGATGACGTACAAATCGTTCAGAAAATCAAATAGAATTAAGCATATCTGTATAGATAAATAAAAGTGAAGTATGTGTTTGTAATATTAAAATAAAACAGTTTAAAAACTTTTAAGTTAAACGGTTTTATTTTCTGTTTTTTTTTTTTGCACTGAAAACTACAATATTGTATTGTCATCTAAATTAAATGTGTGTACCAAATTTCAGATCAATCTGACAACGGGAAGGTGCTTAAATTTCAATTTCTAATTTAGACCCAAATAAACAAATAAATTCCGTACGTGTCGAGCTAAATAAAACCGTTTAATTACCATTTTTTACTTAATCCATATGGATGTGAAGGAAAATATCGTAAGGAAACATATTTTTGTCGAAAAATATCGAATGTATGTGAAGTCCGCCAATCCGGGATCATGGGATAGCGTATGACTATGTCCTAATACCCTCTGTACAGAGGAGGCCTTTGCCCAGTAGTGGGACATTCATAGCCAGTTACTTTACTTTTACTTTTTTTACTACGCAGAAAGTTCTAATTTTATCTTGCAGTAGTGGTTCGTTTTGATAAAATTAATTATAAGATTGTGCCATGTCGCGGAATGAACTCAATTAATCAGGACCAACTTTTACGAAAATCGGCAGTCGGCGTATTATTGTTACCCGTTATGCTGAGCCCTCGAGCTCCTGAGGGAGCCCTGACTCAGGCCGTGACGCTATTATTAATCTCGCCGGTTTGAGAGGCCACCAAGTTCTTAGGGCGAGCACCTAAAATACCTGCGCACCTACATAAGTGTAAGATAGGTGCGACAGCGAGAGACCATCGCACCTGTACTGAAGGTATACATCAATAGGGCTGCCGAGCACGGCTTCGGTAAACAAAGTGACGGTTTTAATACCGGAATCTTACTCGAAACCAGTCCTACCTCGTTACAACACTACAGAGCACATTATACCATTGAGGAATATCTTTACGACGCCAATAGGTGGAGCTACTTTTGATACTTACGTAAGCTAAAATAAAAATATTATACCTATGTTACATTGTAATCTGATCTTTCGAAAAAAGAGCAACTGTTGAGTTTCTTGCCGGTCCCTTCTGAACAGAAACCGCCTTCCGAACCGGTGGTAACTTACGATCCTATGTTTCAATCTTTATGTATATAATTCTTCTGTATGTGTGTATGACACTGAACTCCTCCTAAACGGCTGGACCAATTTTAATGAAATTTTTCATGTGTCTTCAGGTCGATTCGAGAATGGTTTAGATTCACATTTTTTCTAAGTTATCGGATTTAAGTCGTGTGTACAGGGCAACATCTGTCCCGTCCGCTAGACATTACGTAAAATTCGACGTTTAACAAGAATTGGCTTCTGCGTTGGGGTCGTCGGTTCGATCCCCACACGGACAACTATTTGTGCGACCCACAGATAGTTGTTTCGCATCTGGGCGTTTGTCAGCGTGAAATTTATCTTTGTAAAACGCCCTTGCAAACACAGGATAACCTTGTCTTAAAGTAAGGGCAATATTTTTTAATAAAAAGAAAAAAAAAATCTCATTCGACCCAGGGCTGAGAGCGCTCACCTGCTGCGGCTGCGCGTGGAAGTGGTTGAAGTGCGTCAGCGGGGGATGGCAGTCGCGGTAGTGGGGGGAGCGGCGGCGGGGCGAAGCGCCCGGCGAGCGCCCCTCAGGGGACGCCGGGGAGCTGCCGCCGGCGCCTGCGCCCACTCCCACGCCCACGCCGCCCTCGCTCGCTGCGAACACATAGCTTATATAATGGTTCACTTTCTCTGCGGACACATCCACTCCTTTTCGACCGCCTTCGAAAAAGGAGTGCTGACGGAGACACCCGCACTTATATCAGAGCTCTCTTTCGCTGCGAACATACGCACTCCTCTTCGACTGACTTTGAAAAAGATGATGTTCTCAATTCGTTTGTATTTGAAGTGTAAACTTGTATAGGCACGTTGGGCAATTTCTGATGGGGAAAAAAGTCAAATTCATATAAAATTCAAATCATTTTTTTTTTAAAATAGAGTCGGTGGCAAACGTTCAAACTTTTACTCGATAATTAGTAATACCGTGGACATCTACAAATAAACTGCGATCCGATGATTACCAGAGTTTTAAAGAGGCTAGTAAGCTCAATCATCAGAAGAAACACAATATTACAATCTATCTCGTGTTCGTCTGCCGTGTGGCCGTTGTACTTTTGCTGGTGGCTTATGGTGGTTTTTTTTTTTTTTCAGGATATTAACGATTTAAAAACAACGCTGCTACTGACCGCAATATTTTTTGAGGATTAACATTTCCAGACAAATTATACATATTTTTTTTTATTTAAAAAAAAGGCGAGTATATTCAATCGATTCCTACTCCACACCAAGTTGTGCTCATAGATATATGGCGAGTAGAACGTGAGCTTGGCTGGAACGTAGCGACGGGGTTCTACTTTGGTCAGATCAGGTACCTGTTGATCTGATGATGGCCACAGGCCTGGCCATAGGTGGCAGCGGAGGTGGAGGCAGCATTGAGTTGGTGAAGTACGCCGGCTTCGGACTCCGGGACAAACCGTGCACCTGGAGTGAGAAAAGATCGCATAAAAATATTTTTGTAGACATTACAATACATTCAGTTACGGACTTACAGTGCCATGGATGTTTTTTTTGATGTGAGAAGATGGCAAACCACCTAATGTTATGTGATAACCACCGCCCATTGACAATTGGGTTGACAATTGTGTTGGAAAATCTCCCGTACGGTTGCAGTTGCGTTGGGGTACGATTTAATAAAATTGGCCCCGGCTACCTCACTCAAGAGACGAAACGCAGTAAGCGAACTATGACACTTCCACTTAACGTCTTCTATGAGGTCGTGGTACTTATCCGGACGGACCTGCCCATTCGCACAACAGAGAAGAGTATTGCGTGGCCCTACCACAGTTAAATAGATGGATCAGTGTTTTGTGTATCACCCGAGAAACCTTCGTTGTTGTGCACAAAATAATTCACTAGTTTCTTTGCAATATTACCAGAAGATGAAATAGATAAAGCCGCTCATGGTTCTCTTTAATTTTAAATGTATATTTTTTTTTGTATCTCTGTTTTCCTTTTCTTGATTTATTAGATATACATTATATTCACTAATTTATTCGGTCAAAATAATTGTATTCATATTTATATACAAAGATTTTAATCAGCACTGAATATCTATTATTGCATGCATTACTTATGCTAAAAGTAATTATATATATGCATACTTAAGTTCTTCACTCTTATTGAGCGAATAATATAACATATTAACTGTTCCTCTTATTAATTTTCCTATTATTCTTAGTCGATCGTCTCTACATTTGCAAACAAAAATAAATGGACCATTAAACAAAATAATAACAAAGCAAATAATTTTTGTACAATTTAGTTATTTTTGTACAAAAATAAAATTAAGTTATTTCATTTCATCATAATCATTTCAGCCTGTTTGAGTCCACTGCTGAACATAGGCCACCCCCACAGACTATCACGAAACACAATTCTGAGCCACCGGCATCCATCTATTTCCCGCACATTTGCACTCCATCTAGTGGCCCCTCACTAGATGGAGTGATGATCCCACACTGCGATGGCCAGTACGAGGCTGCCACTCAAGAACCTTTCTTCCCCAACGATTATCGGTTCTACGGGCTATATGGCTGGCCCATCGTCACTTCGGCTTAATATTCCACTGAGCTATGTTTTTTTCTACCGCGGATTGTCTTCATTTCGAACTTTATTACTCTCTACTTCTTTTATTACGAATTTATTTTATTTTTTTCATTATTTCATGATGTTCTTTATGTTGTAAATGATGTTATGTCTTCGAAATGTCAAGATTTATAAATCTGTATAATTAGTTAAAACATTCAATGAAAATAAAATAAAGTCTTAACGTTCCTCTCTAAAAGAAGGAAAGGTTTCGTTCCTTTAGAACGTGCCTCCGGGATCATTTGACACTGTTGCCTTTATCGATTTGTGTCCAAACCTGTATTTGCTGAACATCCGTGGGGGGCTCCTGGCACACGAAGGTCACGAAGTCACCAAGCGAGTCCTGCGGTGCACCGTCGTACTTCCCACTCGAATGCTGGCTGGACAGCTCTGACGCTGGAATCGAACAGAAGTTAAGGTCAAGTCAACGCCTTCCCTTGCCTTGTCTATTGCAGACCATGGGAAAGAAATCTTGGACATCAACCATCGGGCCGATGAAAACTTAAATGGTTTCCGTGAATTCAGAAATGAAAGTTATTATAATATTTTTATTACGGGACAAATGACAAGTAATGAATAGACGTGGTTATTTATCTTTGATACTAAGTTTACCTAAAGAGTTTCGCACCATCTTAATGTTATAGCATATTCACCTACATAACGTTTAAAGTTGGAAAACAAATTAAATTAATCAAAAAAAATTTTGATGGAGTTATATTATAATTTTTTTGGAGATAAATGAACCTTCAGCGCTGCGGGAAACCTGTGTCTTCTGGTTTCGCATCCAGACGCTTTATGAACTAAGTTAAGCAGCCGATGACCTCACAGCGCGAAAATCTCGACATCTACATTCCTTCTGTTGCATTTTTCTACTGCATGCTTGGCACCCTTTACAGCAAATACACTTTACAAAGAACATTCAACGATGAACATTTGTAACGAGAGATGTCGCCATTGCTCCTAAAATTTTTAGGATATCATTTTTGTGTCAAAATCGTCCAATACCTATTATAACAATACTAGCAGCATAAACATCAAACAGAGGAAGATGCAGATTATCTGCATATTCTCATTTATTATAATTTAGCCTGAGTATCATTTTTACTATTTCTAGAGCTTAATTCTGATTAATTACAGAATAAGGGAAATGTAATATGGGGTTGGGGTTTCAAATCCCAGCAATGTACACTGTAAATGTACACTCATTGACGACTTTTCGATTCTTCCTTGTTCCGGTGTATGGTGACAAGCTCACCACCGGTCACGTAGTCAATAAGATTGATGAAACAATGACACCTTTGGGCATCCCTGTTTATATCTGTTAGACATCGTGTAATTGACACAACGCTGCTGTGTAAATAAAATACAGACGCATACGTATATCATGATCAGAGCTAAACTAGTATATAAGACATGTCTAGAATAGTGAATAGTGAACCTTTCTCGTACGCTGGAGGGTGTGGGTTCTATCCCTATCACAGAAACATTGTGACAATCATATAATGTTTTGTAGTATAGTAATAATTTGAATTTATTTAACAAAGAAAAAGTATGTGTCAGTATTTTTTTATGTGAAATGTAGCCAAATGAGCAGACGGTTCACCTGATGTTAAGTGAATACCGCCGCCCATGGACATCTGCTACACCCGAGGGTTACAGATACGTTGACACCCTTTTGAAAATTGGGCTCCAGCTACCTCACTCAGCAGACGAAACGCGAAAGTATTTGTCATTCTTTCACTTTACGCTGGTCTCCTGTGAGGTCGTGGTACTTACCCGGATGGGCCTGTCCATTTGAGCAACAGCCGAGTTTGCTGCGTGGCCCTACCACCGTTATGTTTCAGTATGTTTATCAGTTACCTGATACCATAGTACAAGCTTTGCTTAGTTTTATACTAAATAACATTGTGTAAAAATATGTCCTGAAATATTTATTCATTAATTATTGTTTATGATAAAAATAAATTAAATAAAAGCACTCGTCTTACCAGTGGGATGTGTGTCGGTGGGTGGTGGCGCGTGCTGGTAGAATATGGTGTTGGAGGGTACCAGTGGGGACTGCGCCGCGCTTAACCCCGCCGAGCTATGCGGGATACCTGTAATGATATATTTAGATTATGACTCACTAAAATGCTATAATATTATGCCCTAAAACCATATATATATATATATAAGCATTATATATTTCCCACTGCTGAGCAAAGGCCGGTTCTATATTCAGGTTATTAGGGCATAGTCCGCCACGCGACCCCACTGCGGTTTGGCAAACTTCACATCTTCGAAATATTTTTTTTTGTTATTACAAAAATATAGAGATTTCCTCACGATGTTTATCTTACTGCCAAGCACATGATAAGTCAGCATTTATTAATTGTAATTAATAATTTCATGGCACTGGGGTATGAATTACATTTGCTTGAGTATATTGAATTAAAACCGAGCGCCCGGACACTGAGCTATCACAAACAAAATTCTCGATGCATGAATGCTATTTATGTATGAGCTTACATCCTCAACTGGCTCCCACTAAGGAGAATGGGAAGATGCAGAGACTTTGAAATTACCAACTAGAGGCAGCACGAGACTAGACCACGGATCATATCCGATGCCGAAACTCGTCCTGACGTTAAACTAAAGCATAACGTATTGATGAGAGTAAGTCTTAAAAAACTATAAAGGAATGTAAACTACGCTTCTTCAAAACTTAAATCTGAACTGAAGAATGTAGAGCTGGCGAGGATAGAGTTATTAAATAACATGAATCAAAAACATTTGACAATATTATGAATCAAAACTATTCCAGTTTTTTGTCGCTTTGACTTACAGCTTTTACTTACGCTAAATTTTTTAACATACATTGTATACAGAAAAATAAATATCATGAAAAATAAATAAATGAACTGTAGAAATCGGACTCTCTATCGGCCACATATAGTAATGTTTTTATACTTTGTAATTTTACGTTTACGAATTCCTTTAGTATCTAATTTAATTAAGGCTTTAAGATAAAGTCCGAGGATGAATGTCTAGTACTAATATTAATTTCTACTGTATAAAAGAGTTCACATTTACTCTATACGCGCACGCTCTATCAAATCTCGTCTAACAAAGACAGCCAGTCATGTTCGACCATCAAAGTATATCTAAATTAGGATCGCTACACACTGGGCGTGCTAATTCCGACCGTCTATATATAGTGGCGGAGCGTTGTCGAGCGATACGGTCAGCGTAGCGCGGCATACTAATGTCGCTTTTGTTTTATTCAGCTTTATTAGTCATTAATATGTCATTGACACCCACGCACGTAATCAATTACACGCTTTTTAACAACGACGCCATTCCACTTTCCATTGTTTTCAACTTAATTAATGCAAATAAACTTATTTTTTTAAAACCAAATACTATAAATTAAAAGTTCTTATGATCTGCTATCGCTGTATAGTTTTAGATTAGTTCAGGTGATGAAAATTGCACTAAATGTATAATCAAATGTTGTTTAACATATCTGCACTAACACTATAAACGTATAATCAAAAACAAAAGCTACTTTAATACATTTTAAGCATTTTTAATATCACAAACTACCGATGTTCGATGAATGAATATACTTTATATTCATTCATTTATTCATATCAACAGGTAAACTGCAACCGTAACATTATATTAATTTGTAAACATACACGACATCTGTAAAAAATATCGGTATAAAATTTACACCTGTGAGATAGTCTGCAAGTACGGAGCAAATAGTCATCACATCTAAGTCGCCAAGGCAATATTAATAATTAGCAAGCTTTTTCTGTTTATTTGCTTTTTTTAAGAGAGGTTTAATATTCTACTGTAATTTAACTCTTTCGCCTCTGCTATCAGCGCACAGATCATCGCTGCCAAGCTATGTTTATCTAAATCGGCTTAGTATACCCACGCTGTGATGGATTGCTTCCTGTGCCATGCGATGAAACGTCAAAGTTGAAAGGACACGTGGGAACGAATTAATTAACTGTTTCGTTCCTGCGAACTTTGTCATTCTCGATCAAATTAAAAAAAAAATCTATAAAATATTAATCAATTTTTGTTTTCCTGTTTTAAATGAATAACGTAATGCAATTTATTTGTTTGTAATTATATCGTATGTGTATCTTTCTGTGATGACTGTGCTACTAATTATTCGATTATCATTATCAAATCTAAACTGCGTGGAATTGTTATTCCAGAAGGAATGCTTACTATTTTTTTGCTGGTTTTTACCCAACTGTGATAAAGTCAAAAAAGGAGGTTGTTTATTGATTGGTATGTATGTGTACGCCCGACCGTCTTTATGTGTCGAATGATATTCCGTTAGATTCATCTTTATTGTGTTAGTATCCTAGGTATATTAAAAATATCAAAGTGGTGGACTTTAAGTGGCAAAACATTATCATATATACATTTTTGTTTGCTCGTACCGCTGTCAGTTATTTAACAACAAACCAAAATTTGATTGACTTGTAAGTCTATGAAATACAAGCTACATACACTATACATTTGCGATTATTTGTTGTGAAAGTACTGACGGAAATGGGATGAACCTATAAGCATGCCTTAAAAATTACATAATGCCTTCAATAAGTTTTTAATAGCGTAGGAACTATGACTAACCCTTGAGGTAACCCCAAAGAGTTACATTTACTTCTAGCCATATGTAACATAAGATTTCTAATTTCTTCTACGTACTGATGTGCATAACGAAATGTTTTAGTACTCACTAAAACATTGCCCGACGAGCATTGTGGAGGGTGTTGCGCGCTCGGCGGGCGGCTCGAAGGCAGGAGGCGCTGGACTGTTGTACCCGCAATAATAGCCAGACTCCAATTTGATGCCCGAACCGCTCGGCGACTCCGAGCCCGTCTCTTGCAGGATTGAAGCTGCAAATGAATAACAATTCAGTCAGTGAACTAGCGAACATGTCTATGACATTGCATGATACTTCGGTATCCTCTAATCATCATCTCTATTCGCCTTCGCTCGCTTTGATTTCCATTTAGTTCGTTTGGAAGCTTATAGACTTAGATATTGCTTCAGATATTTCATGAGAACCTTGGATTTTTCCAGATTAAATAATCATGAAAAACTAAAGCGATCATGTGCTCCATTGCTGCGTGACAGTAAAATAAATCAATATACAATTTTCATTTCCTTTTTGGTTTTAAAAAATCATCCATTTCAGGAGTAATTCTTTCCTCTATTCGGTACGTTGTAATTGGTGGGTCTATCTATCTGTGCTAGAAATATGTCCCTTCACGTGAACATGTTTACGAAATGTTTAATTCAAATATCCAATCGCATAAGAACAAGAAAACATTATACCACCAACTGCTACTTAACCATAATCACGCTGACCATAAATTTGAAAATACATTAAGTTTGGTTTTCTTTGTAATATTTCCACTAACGATAATTCATATGCGGAGGCTTGCGCAATAATTGAATATAAGACAGAAATTAAGCGAATTTTGAAAATAACTATTTTGGAAATCCCAAATTTTTATTCCGATGCTATTTCTCACTGCAATGTGGGCTCGACTCTTTGTGGGAGACAGGACTAGAATATTATTTAGATATCTTCTCAATATATACAGATGTCTTATGACTTTTAGGAAATAAAATTATTGAAGATTTTTAATTTTCATAATTAATTTAATACATTCCTAATTAAATAAGCCCGACAAGAATACAATTCTGTTCACATTTATAAATATCTTGATACGTTTTTTATGTAATGCGTATCTGAAATCTGGAATCTCTGACTAATTAAATGGATAGCAAGCTTGAGTATATATGATCCTTTCATATCTTTCGTCAATCCTACTCAGATACTGATAGTCCGTCAGCAAATACGTCGTTGGTAATCAATATTACATGCACCATTGTTGCTGTCCATAAATGTTTTCGGTATTCAATGGGCACATCAGAAGTTCAATAGCGAAAATGCTGCCCCACATTTACTCGCGTGTGAGTGAGGTAACCCGGGCCCACTTTTAAATAGGTTGGCAACGCATCTGCCACCCACCAGGTGTTGGAGATGTCCATTGGCACCGTCACTTTCATCAAGTGAACCGCTGTCTCGCTTACCAACTTTTTACATAAAAAAACATCGAACGTCACAAATCTAGACCTTCGAGTGAAGCCGAAAAAATCAGATCGTAACGTAAAAGAACAAAAGGAAGTATTCATTTTTCATTATTCAAAGGAACATAATTCAATAACGTCAGTGCAAAACCCGCAGCAGCTAGGAAACATTTATTGAGAAGCCATAGCCTTCTATATATTTTCATCTACATTATTTAGTTAAACAGAATGACCTTAATTTTTTACTAAGCAGCTGTAAACACGTTAATCATGTTATATTCTTTCTATTATCTGTATTCATCGTTCTGAATTATTTCGTATTCATGTTATACATTTTGTTAATTTAATTTACTTCGATTAAGAAATATTTCTTCCCGAACATTTTATTTCTAATAACATTTTCAACACGTTCGTCGGTTTTATTATAAAAATGCTTTTGTGTTTTATCAGTAACGGCATAGACAATGATAACTAGGGACAGAGCTCACTCCCAAAGTGCAAGCCATCGCCGTACACCGGCATAATTTACATGGAAGAAAAGCGAAAAATTTGGAAAATTTAGATATCATTAATAAGTGGAATTAATTTAAGGACCAAGGAAGTGACCTCCGATCGAATCATGGATAGAGGCCTCTCTCTAAGCCACTACTAATGAAAGCACTCAGCGCGTATACGGAAAAGTCAACAAGACAGCGATTGTATTACATAATGTTAATAAAGTTAAACATGAACATACCTTTACTCAACTTCCATAGTTCCTTCGAGGAGAAGACACCGGTTGCTAGAATAATATCGTTGCAAATGACACCGTTGTAGGGATTGTGGGTATAGCCTGCAACCACTTTACATTATTTAAACGAAGAAAAAAATCTATCGAGAGGATGTCGTCTCGGAAAAAAACTATGGAGGTGCGATCACGACAGCTCTCTTTGTATTTGCATGTATTAATAGTTAGTGTTAGAATATTTGAACAAAACTTTTAGTACAGTTATATGACATACATACGATTACGTTTCATAAGGTGTATGTCATTACAGAGCAGTCTGCACATACGTGTCAATAGATATAAAAAAAAAACAATTCAAGCTAACGTGATTTTAGAAATACAAAATGTTCATCCGAATTGTTACTATAGCTCACACAATCTTCATTTCAAAATCAATACATAAACATAAGGAAAATGTGAACTTCGTAATTTGTTGTTACAATATAAATAAAGTAAAAACATTCACGGACCTTGTAAACATTCATTCATTAAATGTGGTAGGGCCACGCAGCAGCCTCGGCTGTTGCACGAATGGGCAGGCCCGTCCGGGTAAGTACCACGACCTCACAGAAGACCGGCGTAAAGTGGAAGTATGACAAATACTTTCGCGTTTCGTCTGGTGAGTGAGGTAGTCGGAGCCCAATTTTCAAAAGGTTGTCAACGCATCTGTAACCCTCGAGTGTAGCAGATGTCCATGGGCGGCGGTATTCACTTAACATCAGGTGAACCGTCTGCTCGTTTGACAACTTTTCGCATAAAAAAAAAAAATTCACGTATTAATAGACTTCAAATATCATTCAAGGCGAAACTTTTTAAGGTCATATATCTAGATAATGTTGGAGTGGCAATGTGGAGGGATTTCTAAACTTTATTTGATATACCAAGTGAAATTAAATGAAACCTATTATACTAATATGGGTATATCAAGAAAGTATTGAATAAGTGCCTATAATACATACTATATTTATAAAACCATTGCTTGCCTACTATCCAACTTGATAGTAGGTAGCAGTGAAGTTGTAGGCAATACGTCATAATAAAACCCTTTACTCTCGCCTTGAAGAGACTCACAAACACAAATATTTAAATATTGTATCCATACATATGAAAATAGTATAATCTTGAGACTAACATCCAGAAAAACATGAAAAAATCTACTTCTATAAGAACATATTGAAAATTTAAACGAATCTAAACATCAAATCATATTACACTACTACTGAATAAAACAGGGAACACATAAAGCGAGGAGACAGTAAATTAGATTTATACTAAAATATTTCACATTCATTAATGTCAATGCTCTTAATAAATACTAAATAATTGATGATGAATTTTTACTCTCAAAAACATTGTCAAAGGAAATCCAAATCTTTAAAATTTCAAATCAAAACGTATTTAGCAGAGCACGGACATAGAAGATAAAAAGAGTGAAAGAGAAGGAACACCGACTACTGTTACTAATTCCAAAGACGACAAACAACAAACGATATCATTTACGACAAAAGCATGACGGGTGAGTGCAAGCCAATGCTGGGATTAAATGTAAAATATGTTAAAAAATTTCGAAAAATAAAATGCGGGTCACGATAAACCAAAACTAAAGTGATAAAACCAGAACATCTTTTAGTGCAAACTCCAATCACAATAGTTTCCGCTGCAGTGTTAGGTCTGTGGCCAGGATCGGACCATTTATTTTTAAACGTACCATAAATTAACGATCAGTAACGCGTGTAAAGAAGTTCGTAGCCGAATTTTACAATTTAATACAATATGTTGCCTTAATTTTTTATTAAACTCAACCATTTGAAATCTCTTCAACTATTTTATCACAATACGTCGTGACACACAACATTATTAATTCAGCAAAAATTTAAACATATTTTAGGCATTAAATCTCATATGACCTATTGCAAATGCAGCACCTTGGCTTCAAAGTTTCTGAAACTTATATATTTCGTATTTGCATACTTTGAATCTCTCTGTAGAATATGAAACGTAGACATAATATTTTTTGAAAATAATTGCATGGCCCATCTTATTTATTTCTTTCGACAACCCAAAGTCATATTTAAAAGCATTTACTTTTTTTTTTCTCAATTATTATTAAGCCTGAAAGTGTATTATGAGCCTTTCGAATCCGTTCTGATTAGTTTCATTTAACGAGACTTTAATCCCCATCGTAGATAAACGTAACTTTCTTGATAAGAGACTGTGAGCTCTACATAGAGTTCAGTCGGTTAGAGTAACTAAAGGCTAAGACCATGAGTCCTGGCCACAGCACTGCAGCGGTAACGTGAAGAGCGTCACGACACCAGCACGAGACCGAAGGACACGGTTACCTTTGCTTTTAGCGTCGTGTTCATTCTCTTTGTCCCTAGGAGGATGGGGCGACAGAGAGCCGCTTAGGATATCTGAAAGCACATCACGTTATCTATACCATCAGCGAAGCACAAAGGAGTTTATGTTACTTTACTGGGACATAGTTCAACATTTTGTATTAATACTTAAGAAGCTTTATTCCTGTTTATTAAGATTATTTCACCTTGGTACCTATGTCTATTTTTTTAAACACTAAAAGAATGTAAGGGTACGATTCCAATAATTGTTATTGTTTCGTTCTAGTCAGAAAAATGCAGATAAAATATGTACATATAACACTTTTTTGTATTATGTGCCTTCATATACTTGGTGTTCAATAAAGAATATATAGATTGATTGATTAAATATTATACACGATAAGAAATAAAATAGATAATTAAAAAATAGAATAGTATATAGTAGGTATATATCATTATTGAACATTTTATTGTGCTGCCCAAATAATTGTGTTACAATTTAAACTGATTGATCTAAATACTCCTTTGTAATTAGTAACTTCTTTTGCACTTTACATATATTTGCCTCCACCATCGCGTAGACCTTCGCCCTAAATATGTCAAGGAAGATTTTATAAAATGCTACCGCATTTATCAGTACCATCACATGAGAAAGTTTATTTTAGTGTTTAAAGGATAGTTATAAAGACAAATTAGTAGTAAAATGTGCATAATCAAGTACTTAAAAGTAGTGACATCTAAACTAAGTTACTATTTTTAAATAAAACGCAACAAAAATGTGGCTTGGAGAGCTAGTGTTCATAAAAAATGTGTGTATATAGTTTACCTCGTGTAAAGTAAATTTTCAAAAAACGTATACTGTATTATCGAAGTGACATATAGCGAAATTGAAACTAACTGATACAATAAAAAGCATAAACACTGAATCAGGAGGAATGGTATTAAATTAATTTTAAACACATTCAGTTAGGATGATAATCGGACATTCAACACTAAAAACTTTTTTGTTTGCGTAATGACCATAATTCATTCCAGACTCTATCGAAATCTTTCCCATAACATAGGTACGAACACTAGCCCACCGCCGACAGAGGGAAGAAAAAGCGTACAACGATAGCTGAGCGGTAGACCTGGCAGACCGTCGCCTCCATTACCATAGCTGTTGATGAAATTGGCGAGGTACAGGTCCAGCTCTCTCACGGACACGTTGATGTGGTACGGGTTGACGCAGAGCCCGGGTTGCGTGCATTCCGGGTGTTTCTCAAGGCGCTCACCATCCGTGCTCTCTAATGGTATCGCTTTGAACAATATCACCATTACCAGGTCTAAGCGCCACACCTGGAAACAGTACGTTACCCGTTATGAATACCTTTTGATATATTTGTCGAACTGGAAAATTTGGATCGAGTTGTCAAGGTTGTCTATGGAAGCAGGTGGCTCAGAATCGTGCTTCGTGGCAATCTGTGGGGGAGACCTATGTTCAGCAGTGGACTTAAACAGGCTGAAATGATGATGATGGTGATGTCAAGGTAACTGACATGTACCATGTTACTGCTGAAGTCATTCTGATCACTCATAAAGTTTGATGCAATTGGGACGTTTTGGCGGAATGTGCCGGACTATAATGTTAAAAGTTACTGTTGTCAATACCGCTTTCAACGCACGTCTATTCCTCACTTTGTTTGAATTATGTGTTAGTTATATTCATCCGTATTTGATTCATATTTGTTTTTAAAGATAAATTCCAGCCAAATTATTATTCTGTTAAAAACCATGCCTTCATGAATCTTACCATAACTATTATATCAATCAATTTATAAATCTAATTTGAGTAATGTAATAATATATAAGCAGGTTATTACTTCTCTTTTCCTTTCTATACTATGCAGATAAGATCCAATACCAACGGTGAGCGTATCAACGTTTACGAATCCTAGTTATTATAAGCTACTAAAAGTATAACTCCTTGACTTTATTGAGACACTTTAAGCAGAGTCCTCGTTTTTCTACTGATTGTATAGAGTATCAAGTATAAAATTTGTAGATACAAGTATCTTCAAAAATGTCGTCATCACTTATTATTTAAAGTCCGATTCTCATGTTAAATAAAACTATTTACCGCATCCATACATGTTTGATGCGGATAAACTCTTAATACTTGATAAGCATAAAATTGTATAAATTTGTGAATAGGAGATTTGGCAAAAACGAACTCGTATTTAACCTTGCAAGAAAGGCGAAATTAAAAGCTTGAACGGAATGGCTATAAATTCACGAAGGTCAGGAATTGTAATTAATTGGAATGTAGAGTTTGGTTGTTAAGTGTTTGTTATAATGTTACTAATGAAAACTTCTATAAAAATAAGTAACAAGAGGCAATTAATAAAATCTATTTTTCTATTCCTATTTTTAATAATTAGTCGTATTTCTTATTCATAATAAGTAGATCTTAATATTTTTCTATATGCTGTTTTTAAAAAAACAATACGCATAATTTCGATAAAAAGCTCAAGTTACGTACCAATACTTTTTGTATTCCATTACTTTTATTACATAGAATAGATCATTAATTTCTTCTCATAAGAAGTTTTTTTTAATATTTTTCTATATGCTGTTTTTAAAAAAACAATACGCATAATTTCGATAAAAAGCTCAAGTTACGTACCAATACTTTTTGTATTCCATTACTTTTATTACATAGAATAGATCATTAATTTCTTCTCATAAGAAGTTTTTTTTTAATTTTGACACTTCCTGCTGCCGCATAGATTATTTTAGTTCCACTTGACACCGGCGACGATGGCGTTGATAAATGAACAGAACACCTTTATTATTGTAACTCGCCAAAACTGCTCCAGTTTTGTTTCCACTTTACGTAACACTGCCTACGGCGGACTACGCGGGCGCCTTTAATTTCGTAGCACTCGAGCCACCTGAGTTCAATTCTCGACGTCGGCAATGAAACTCTTTCATCGCAATTAAACGCTGACGTAAGGCCAAATGGAAAAGCTCAAAATGGGCCCGGGCATTTTGACAAACTTTGCCATAACGTCATCTGTGCAAATGCATGGCTGCGATACGGTGTGATGAAAATCAAAATTAAAGTAGGCTCTATCTTCTCAGTTTTTAAATATTGCTTGAGAATTTTTACAGTACACTGATTTTGCTTTAAGTAAAACAATAACAGTAATAAACCTTTTTCAGTCATATCGGACTAAGGACTCACTAAGGACTTGGATTTTTTGTCAAATTTTGAAAATTCCAAAATACGAAAGTATAGGTTTAAAAACTAATATTTACAGCATTTACACATTACCATATTTGGATAGATAAAAACGTTACAAAATTATGAAAAAACATATCTCATTATAAAATTTTAAAGTAAACTACATAGTTTAGCTAGTCTTTCTAATCGTTTATCCTTGAACCACCAGAAGGAGCCTAATTTCCCGGTTGAGGTTACAGTTGCTCTATTTAGAAGATCGGTTATATCATCAATATTAAAAGTTTTAAATAAATCTCTAATTCTATCGGGTTAGGAATAGATGTACTCGTATTTATCAATGATGATATCAGAATGTATGATATTTTTAAGGTTCCGTACCCAAAGGGTAAAACGGGACCCTATTCTTAAGACTCCGCTGTCTGCCTGTCTGTTTGTCTGTCTGTCAGTTCGTCTATCACCAGGCTGTATCTCATGAGCCGTGATAGTTACATAGTTAAAATTTTCACAGGTGATGTATTTCTGTTGCCGCTATAATAAGAAATACTAAACAATAGAATAATAAATTTTTAAGCGAGGCTCCCATACAACAGACTTAATTTTTTGCCGCATTTATAAATAATGGCACGTAACCCTTCGTGCGTGAGTCCATGTTTTGCGAATCCCACAAATGTCCCACAAATAGAAATGTACACTTCAGAATCTTACTCAACATTTCTTTTTATACTAAACCTTGATTATTTAATGTATTGCGCAAGAATCAAGAGTCTGTCTAAACATTACATCCTCTGTCATTAATTTACAGTTGCCAAAGAAAGAAATCTTTCACATTCACCTGCAAATATCTGAAGGTACACAAACATCAGTATCGAGAGGAAACCAAGCTCACTTTATACCAAAGCGCAAAGTTTATCATCTACACAAACCGAGCAATCTGTACCGATGTAGTTGATATGCATAAGTCATTTGCTCCTCACAGAAACTATATCCGGACAAGGTCACTACAACTACGCTAGCCCAGTACAGTCAGCTCCCGGGGGAACGTGGCGCGCAAATAGTAAAACATTTCGATGTTCTACGATACATTTCGGCCGTGGTCCACATTATGGCGCATACAATATTTTATATCACAATAGGCCCGATGTTAGCAATAGCGATGGTTGTCGGCTTGTCTAGAAAGAGCTTAAATAAACTACGAATAGATTGGACGGGGAAACGCATACGAATTTCGCTGATCGAGTTTTGAACGCGCGTTTGGCAAAAATTATTTTTATAAACTCCTCGCCCTTCTTTGTCATATCTAAACGGCATGTTTTAGTATTGCATACATTCAATTAATGTTTTTCTATTCAACCGATCCAAATGATTCTTCTTCATGATTTACTTTTCTTTACGTCATTGTAACAAATACTTAGTACTTGCTTAATTGAGTTGCAAACTCTTTCAAATACAAAATATATTTATTCAAATGGCCGGCGCGTTCTTATGAATCATCGAATTTTACATAAAAAATAATATATAGGTTCGTAAGATACCACCGGTTCGGAAAGCAGTTTCCGTTGAGGAGAGTCCGGCAAGAAACTCAACAGTTGCTCTTTTTCAAAAATATCAGTTTACAATATAATATACAGGTATAATAGTCTTATTTTAGCGTACGTGAGTATCAACAGTATTAACTCCACACAATGACGTTGTCGAGATATTCCGCAATGGTATAATATGCTGCAACCATAAATTTACTTTTGATTTTACGTTTAAATTGATCAATATTTTGCGAACTTGCTGAATAGGAATGATATAATAACAGCAGCCTTATCATTTACATAGTTTTGAAATAAATTTTAGGATTATAACTATGCTGTGAATAAATCAAATCTTATTACATATCTCCTTAATGAAAACTTGATGAGTAGTTTTCGGATTTAGGCTATCTACGAAATGCACCACAGTGTTGACCTTACCTTATCGGCTTGCCGTAAACAGTCTATCCTCCTCATTTTGCCCTTCTGGTCGGGGTTGGACAGAACACACACTGCCGGCCGCTTCCCAGTTATGCTTAGCACAAAGTCCTCCCGGCAGTCCTGTGTTATGTCCTTCCTTAGCTTGCCCAGCAGCCGTGATGCCCATTTCTGTTTCACTTCTGCTTTCTCGTTCTGTAATTGTATCCGATGTGTACTTTTATTCACCTTAGTTTAATTATATCCTTGGTAGAAAGGTGAAGATTGATAGGAATAAATGAATTAATTTGCGCGTTATATCAAATAACCTCTTCACAATGGAACACCTAAATGCCTAGCTTCCTTTGTTTATTGACGAAAATTGCCGCATTTTAACTATAAGATTAAAACTCATCGCACGAAATGCTTACAGCAAAAGACAAAAATTAACCCACGTCTAACATCTACTTCATCACCACAGGAAAGAAGACAGTAAAGTCAAAGTTACTTTTCAACGATGTTGCTTAACGTGGCTTGCTGGAGATGGGAATTGAAACAAATCGTCAGAAAGCTAAGTAACTAGAGTGAGGAAACTAAGTAAGTAGTGTTAAGCCCTGTCCATTCGACTGTCAATCATTATTGTTCTCCCTCTATCTCTTTCTCTCTCGCTGTGTCTTTACATGTTAATTGATCGATCCCACTGGACCTGTGCGCTGCACGGAACTAGGTTCTTTTTTTATTTATTTTTTTATTTAAATTTATTATTTTATGTAATTTTATTACATTTCTCCTGAAACTTTTCGATTTGATTCCTGTACCGTACTAAAGAAATAAAATAGAGAGTTTCTTTTATTTCGAATTACATTCATAGTTAAGGTAAGGGGTATCTTAAAGGGTTTCTTGAGGAGGGTTTCTTGAAGAGAGTCCCGAAACTAAACACGTTTTCTAATACGCAAAGGTGGTAATTGAGCAGGTAGATCGTATACGATCGTATACGACGATACGATATATCGTATCGTCGATAGGTAACTCTGATAATTGTCTGTACTGTGGATGCCCACGGGTTACTGGGGATGTCCACCGGGTCCACGGTAGAGGGGACCCGGTTATCTCACTTACCAGTCGAAACGCGAAAATATTATTCTTTTCCTAGACAACGAACTTCCATAAAGCCAAGGTACTTTCCCGGACGAGCCTGGCCATTCGTACATCATAAACTTTATGATAAAGTTGTAAAAAATACATTGCTTAAATTCCTGCCTTCATTCAAATTTGTAGAAAAAGTACGAAAAGATTGTCGCCGATATGGGAATCGAACCCAGAAGTATAATAATAGAAGTAAGCTTTTTTAAGTATTTCAAATCAAGTCTAAAACGTCTGCGTACCAAATTAAAAACAATATTAGCTTTCTGCCCTCCTTCTCTGTATAAACTATAAGTGTAGGATATTTCATCCTCCGCCCGCGCTTTTTTTTTTTTGTAAAAAAGGTTACAAACTTTGCTTCACGTATTAATACACAGATTATTTACAAGTAGTAAAATTGCCCCATTCAAATGCTTGGAATATCCTTCTGGTTTTCTCTGACTATTTAATTTTTTTCAACCAAACGTCATCCTCCAATATATTTCGATGCTCATTTCAAGTTTTATAAATGAATTTAAAAAACAAATAACAAATTCGTCACTCTCACTGATGATCTAAAATTATTGCAATGCTTCACCTTAAGCTAAGGACTAAAATGAACGGATTTTTATGCCCAGTGGCACTCTACCAGTCAATCCTTGTCATGGTGAAAAGCAGATGGCAGATACTAAACGAAAAATTTAAGAAAGTTCACCAAATATTTGGCACACATAATTAATTTAATGAAGCAATGTCACAATTGAAATCGCGTTGAAATTTATAGCTATTAAAAATAATTGATACTCAATATAACAATAATGTTTATCGAGTCTCTAATAAAACATTCCACGTAGGTAACATTTTTAATACTAGGGCATCGTGTCCCGATTAAAATGTCAAACTTTCATACAGAAGGTTCTATTGTTAAGTGTTAAGTGATCATGTGCCCATAAACATTCACAACACCAAACGGTTGCACATACGTTGTTTTATTCTCAAAACGACAGGGTTTTTAACAATTCTAATTCCATATCGTCCGAAAATATTAATCGATATTATTAACACTTGTAAAGACGTATCACCACTGGTGTCACAAGTTGTCACTTACTCACTCTAATAAATGGGTATCAATAAACGTATCACCACCGGCGGAGATATAAGTCTGTCTCACTTCATTCCCGGTTATTGATAAAGTTCACACCAAAAGATTGAGACTCAGTCGTTTATAACTGTGGTAGGACCACGCAACAGTATTCGCTGTTGCACGAATGGGTAGGTCCCTCAGGGTTAGAACCACAACCTCACATAAAATAGAAGTGTTACACTTCTGCGTTTCGTCTGGTGAGTGAGGTAAACGGGGCCTGCTTAATGCAAAGGTGACAACGTTCCTGCAACCCTACGGGTGTAGCAAATGTCCATGGTTATCACTTAACATCAGGTGAATCATCAGCTCGTTTGCCACTTTGTCACATAAAGAAAAAACTCACCTGCAGTTCATATTTCGTGTGCCGCTCCTCCTCGAGACTCATCCGCTTTTCGTGTTTCTTGTAGTATTTCCTCTTTGCCGCTTGCAAATTGAACCACGTGTACGAAAAGGACTTTACGAAAGGCATTAGCGCCTCTATGAACGGATGGAACTCGTCCTGTGAACATTCAAAAAATCAAACAAGCTTTAATTGCGTTGCGACAGCGTTCGTTGTTTTGGCGCCCACGCCGACACCGCTACATCCTCTCTTTCTTTTTCTCTCTCTGTCTCTCTCTGTACATTACATTCTCTATATTCAACCTTTACCTTTCTCGATAAGTATTATTGTCTAAGTTTGTTTTATGTATTTCTAAAATACAACAAAGAAAATAAATAGATGCTATTTGTCACTAACAGTTTCTTTATCATCGTTAGTATCATCATAACCATCGACTTGCATAACATCGATCAAATTTTGTTAGTTAACAATTTAACAATCACTGTTAGCAATCAAAGAAGAGAGAAATAGTGACCTCGCTCTCCTAAATTCATACAACATCACTTAAACTCTCATTTGTAGTCTCCTTCGACCCCAATAGACCAGAGCGAAGAGCAAACAATCATTCTGATTACATTTACTCCGAAGCACTGAGACTACTTACAATTGAGTTAAAACCGAACTATTCGAATTAAATCATTGTAGTTGTACATCGGATATTCATATATAGAAATTTATTTGATACATATAAATTTATTCAACATACTCATATGTTCGCAGTTTACAAATACACTTGAAAGTAGAGAGCACCTTCATAAACTTGCATACGTAATCTCGGTAACATCGACATTATCAGTTTCACATGCACTTCATATTACTGGCTTATACAAAGGGAAAGCTTGCCGAGGGCTCTCCATCGCTGTGGAGTCTTTCTATCCTTGTGACACGATATTAAACCTTTTTTCACGCCAGCAACCCCGACTCTACGTAGAGTTCCTATTTTTTTTATTTCAACCATCCTAATCAGTTAAATCTTCTGCTCAGAGTGCTGAGTGGTCTCATCTGATAAATATTTGAACTATTTAATATAACATACCTTCACACTCCATCTTAACACCTCTTTTGACTAAAGCCACAGCAGAACCTACTGGGTGACTATATCACTATATCACTGTTAGAATGCTTACTAGACCAAAGTTAAGTGCGGGTTTAATCTTTTTGTCTGAATGTTCATTGCCTTTAAATAAACTCTATTGTAATCTTGTTTTGTAAAGAAGTAGTGACGTATACAAGTTCATTTATTTATTCAAATCATTTCCAATTGAAGAAAGTGATTCTGATGATAAAATTTACAACGGAACAGATACATAAATCCAAGAATACTGACTAACGCGATGGATTTCACGCGCGGCGTCGACAATTGAATATACCAACCTCAAAGAGGCAGTCCTAAAAGAATGTATGACAAAGGTTTTACGAAAAGACAATATAAAGACTTCGTCATGCTATGGTGCTCAAGCGAAAATAATCCTTATTGGGTATTCTCGAACACAAAGTATTATCCCTAGTACTTTTATTTATTACTATGTTATTATTATTTTTAACTTAATATCGTAACTTTTATATACACAAATTTAACATGGACAAACATCCATATCTGGTGCAATTATCGGTAGGTGAAAAATGAAGCAGAATAAATAACTTTTTTATTTAAAATTAGTAGAAACTTTTTTCTTGTGTAAACTGAACCCCAGACTCGCGTTACCAAAGCCATTATCTGATGACTACGATACGGGAGGAGTCAAAAACGCTACTCCCTGCGTAAAAATAATATACATATTTTTTTAAAACTCATTTACAAGTGACCTACATCTGACAGAAGTTGACTTCCTCAGAAGTTCCATGGTTTTCCGAGCTATTTGACTTCGAATTTTGTGAGATTTTCACGTTACTTATGTAGCATGACTTCCACTAGTAAACAATAGCTTTATTTCGGGAGATTTAAAAACATGACCCGTAACAACTATGTTCCCAAGCGGGAACAAATTCCACAAGGAATATGAAATATGTTAACAAATATGTACCTAGGAGTATATGTTATTAATAAAGTCGTACATAAGTTTCGAAACCTTGTTTCTTTTACCACAAACACTACTCCTATAAATAGTGACATACATTAAACGTTTACATATCTTTATCATACAAAATGTTCGTTTCTAATACCGAGGTTATTACAGAAGGAAACATCGTTTCTATCATGTAAATGAAAGCTCCGATTGACCTTCCGAATTTCACCCCTCGTGGAATCCAAATAAAGCATTGTTTACGAAACCATCCCTAACGTTCCACAAAAAATCAGACTGCGCAAATAACAACTGTACATTGTAGCCGAAAGATGGCGCTATATGATGAAGAGACAAAGTTGCAACCCTATTGCGATAGACAGAGATCTTTATACGGAAAATTGCCCAGTGAGACAGCGGTGCACCTGATGTTCAGTGATTACCTCCTCGATTCGCAACACCTGAGGGATTGCAGATGCGTTGACAACCTTAAAAAATTCCCCGGCTACTTCACTCATCAGACGAAACGCGAACTTATAATACTTTCGCTCCATGCTGGTTTTCACTGAGGAGGTGGTATTACAGATGGGTCCATTCGTTCAACAGAAGCTGATAACCAAACTGCAAAACTGCCGAAGCTCTATCATCATAAAATACTTCTTTGCAGTAGATACTAGACAAACTACCTCAGTGGTTTGGCCAGTTGGCTCGGTTGGTAAGGTGCAAATACAAGGCTATTGGTTATTACGACGGAAAACTAACTGTGGTAGGGCCACGCAACGGTTTCGGCTGTTGCACGAATGGCCAAATGCCATTGTCATTCTTTTGCGTTTCGTCTGGTGTGTAAGGTAACCGGAGCTTACTGTATTAAAAAGTGGCAACGCATCTGGTACCCTACGGGTGTTGCAAATGTCCGCGGGCGGCGGTTATTACCTAACATCAGATAAACCGCCCGGTCACTTGCCACCTTCTTTTATATGGTTGGAACCGCGATATTTTACAAATTAGCTGCCTACGATACGAGCTCATCGCCTATCTTCATCTTCTTCTACCTGGCATTAATCCCCTCTATTGGCAGAGTCTGCCTTCCTACTTAAACTCCTCCACGTTGCCCGACATCCGCAGGGGGCAGTCCATTGGCTCTCGACCAGCCATCGCTTCCTTGGGCGTCCAGGAGGTGTAGTTCCTGGGACAGATATATGAAGGCATATCCTTCCGACATAGTTTTCCGACCGGCGTGCGACATGGCCATACCATATCCTATCTCTCCTATCTCTCCCAATAAATCTCGCGTCGACGCGTGTCGTGTCCGAAGGGAAAAGCTAAATAATCGATCGAGCATTCATCGCGTACGACCGACGAACGCTGTATTGTTATGCCGACTGAATCATAACATAATATATGCAAATGTGCCGTCGTGATTTATTGCGGGGCCACCGCGCAACGGGCCGAGGCGGGCTGGAATTCGCGATTGTTTGTTTACTTGGGCCCAGGATTGAATACTCTGGCCTCTTACTAACTAAACGACTTCGAAAAAGGAGCTTTGGTGCGTAGCGTACCAAAGCATGCCGCGAGAAGCGTCCGGGATGTGATTTTTTTTTTATGTGATAAAAGTGGCAAACGAGCTGGCGGTTCACCTGATGTTAAGTGAAAACCAAAGGCGTTGCCACCTTTAAATAAAGTAGGCCCCGGCTACCATGTCCATTCTACATAATTAGAGCATCCCTTATGCTAATGTACATTACAATTAACGATTATTATATCAAAAGTAAAGTAAAAAAGTGAAGTAACATCTTATTAATTAATGTCCCACTGCTGGGCAAAGGCCTCCTCTATACAGAGGGTATCAGGGCATAGTCCACCACTACGGATTGGCGGACTTCTAAAATGTGCCGGTTTCCTCACGATGTTTTCCTTCACCACGGAACGGGTGATAAGTTAGCACTTAAAATTAACAATTTCCTTGGTGCCGGAACCGGGGATCGAACTCAGATTGCTCGACTATATCGAATTAAGGGCGAGCGCCCAGACACTGGACTATCACGTCTATTATTATATCATTTTTTTGCAAATATATTATAATTTTCATATTATTGATTAATTTATTGTTCGACTTTAATCTTACTAAAGTTAAATCTGAAAATAATACTTGACTCGACTAGAAAGACTATTAGCCTTGTCCCCAAAACGCCTATAACTAATTTAAAACTGAAATTTTGAGAATAACGATTAATTGTAACAGTAATTTAAAAGAAAAAAAATTTCCGATGTCAGTAAATCTTTTTATAGACCTCGCTGTACGTTTTACAAAGAGAAAGTTTTTGCAAATTCGATAGGCAATTATAAACCCGACTCTGGCATCAAAAGATGTGGGTACGTTCCAAACCACTGAAAAAACACTGAATGATGAACATAATGTTATTCTAGTGTCTTAATATTCCTATATCCAGAATTAACGTATTATATAAAATGCTATATAGAGAATAGATACTATACATACAGATTTTATCAGTTACTTATTACCCATGGTACAAAGATATGCTTAATTTGGCACTAGATAACGTTACGTAAATAATTGCATCAATACAACTTTTTATTTCCAAAGACCGTCTTATCTCTGTGCTCCTAAGGCTTAACTCTCCACTTCCAGCAACGTCATTGTCCTCAGCCAATCAACAAGAAACGGCAGACAACTGCCCATCGTTATGCACAATGGTGGATTAATAAAGCGCATAACAGCAATCGACTATTGCAAAGTCCACCAACTTGCCCCGCATCACGTTGTGATGGCCGACGCGGCGCGGCAGCACGAAGGCAATACTAAACAGCTCCCGCATTTGTGCACTTCGCGTCCAGAACACGGACTTTCCCACGGCATAATGGATCGCAATCGAATGAATGCACGCGGTGTTAAATAAGGCATTGATCTAACACGAAACTAGCACGGACTCAAGGATGTGAATTGAAGAAGAAGAAAGAAAGAAAGAAACAAAATACATTTATTTACCAAAAAAGGACGCACACAATAAAAAGAAAGAAAAACTAAAATTAACAAAAAATAAAAGAAAATAAAACAATACTTATAAATAATTCCGTAAAGCGAAAGAACACAAATACATAATTAAAATATAAACAAATGAAAAAGAACTTTAACAAACTATAAATAGAGTGCAAACGCCCTATTCCGGTAAATTAAATGCTTCTTAGGTTTCCATACCCAAAGGGTAAAACGGGACCCTATTAATAAGACTTCCTTGTCTTTCTGTCTGTCTGTCTGTCTGTCACCGGGCCCTGTCTCAAGAACCATGATAGTGAGACAGTTGAAATTTTCACAGATGTATTTCAGTTGCGGCTTTACCAACAAATATAGAAAAATATTTAAGAGGGGCTCCCATAGAACAGACGCGATGTTTTTGCTGATAAATAAATAATGGTACGGCACCCTTCGTGCGCCAGTCCGACTCGCGCTTGGCCGGTTTTTTTTATGTAAGAAAATGTCAAACGGGCTGGTGTTAAGTGATGACCGGCGCCCGTGGACATCTGCTACAACCGTAGGGTTGCAATTCGTCGCCACCTTTTAAGCGCCACCTTTTACCTCGCTCACCAGGCGAAACGCAGAAGTATAACGCTTACACTCCACGCTGGTCTTCTGTGAGGTCGTGGTGCATCCCTGGACGGATCTACCAGTTCGTGCAACAGCGAAGACTGATGCGTGGCCGTACCACAATTGCTACAACCAGAGTGTTTATATACTAGAGTGCTGGTTTAGTAGATTTTTATTATATACTATCAGATATACATACATACGCTCAGAAAAAATTAATGGCAGTTAACCTAGTTGAAATCACTTTTCATTTTCTTTTACTGTCCACGATCAGTCTTCGCTGTGGCACGAATGGGCATCACATCAAAAGAGACCGGCGTTAAGTGGTAGTGTTCTATGGAATGTTCTGGGTTCACCGGGTCCCTCTTAAGGCAAATGTGGCAACTCATCTACAACCCTACGGGTGTTGCGAATGACGCGCGCATCACGGAAAAACTACTAGATAACTTTCAATCGATTCGTCCAAGTTTTATTTCTTAGACGCTTCGCCCCTATTATATACCATTATAAATATATTGTGTTAAGAAAACAATATTTTTATAAGCACTACGTGTTCAGTGATGTGTGTTTGCTTGCAGTAGATAAGTGTGGCAATTTTTTATCATAATCAATTCTAAACAAAATAACAACCACTGGAATCGAACCCGCGCTCTGCTGGCTCTGTCCGTGAATAACGCTCAAATAAATAGAACCAGTCGTAATTCACGACCGTCTTAAACTCAGCCAAGGCCCGCAGATGTTCCGCGTCTAAACACACACCAGAGAGTGCTGAATGAAAAACTCGGCGCGCGTAGACGTCAGCGAAACCGAGGCGGCCGCTCCCCTGAGCGTAAACAACGGTCCAGTCAAAACATTCTAGTTGGCCGCCGCAGACACCTCCCCTGCCAAGCTCCCCTGGCCAGCTGGCAGGACCTCCGGCCACGTGGATTTCCTGGCATGCTCCGTGCTCCCGACCTATGGTCGTAAGAACGCGATCTTAGGCGTAGCTACTCGTAGTGAGTACAGCCAACGAGTTCCGTTCGACGAATTCTTATTGGGGATGAGTCACTGCCTCCGTACGCTTTGGCTTACACCAAACACGTTCCCAATCCGAGCTTAAAACCTCATTCAATAATCGGCTGTAACCGTACACATTTCAAGAAAAGGTATCGACAAAACCCTTCAAATTGAAAAAAAGATTGTACAAACTAACATCCACCGTCTATCAACTGACAAAGGGTTTAATTATGACAATCTCGACCAAAAAGCTCGAGCTATGAGAACTCATGTTAAGCTTAAATCGCTCAGTAACATATTGTTAGACCGTAACTATTGTTACAAAACTGAATGAAAAAATCACGCGAGAAAATCAAAGGGAAAGTAACAAAGTTGTTCACCGAACACGTCGACGATAAATTGAAGTCGCGATTCGCGCCGAAAGCGCGCACCCGCCATTTTGTATCCGCCGAAAAGGGCGCGAAAACGAAGCACGGGTGTGACGTCGCAAAACTATCGCAATATGGCGGACGATAGGGTGCGATATAAGCGAATAAGAACAACGGAGCGGAGATCGTTGGCAGAGGCGCTGAATCGGTGCAATATAGCTGAACATTACGAAGATATCGCTGGGCGCTCGCGTATTTTCGTTTTGATTACCTCCAGTGTTACGAGTTATTGTTAGCCGTGTTTACGTACGACCGACCTTTGTTTTTTCGTAGTACTATAGCCGTGAAAATTTTAGAACACATTCATCTAGCTTTCATCAAGCCAACTTCCAAACGAAAGTGTAAAAATGCAAGTAATTAGACGCTGGATTCTTTAATTTTAGACTATAATCTCATGACGTCTATATTTAACAGCTTGCTGATATGTTGATAGTGATTTGTATATTGTTATTATACCTCTTAAAAAGGTCAACATAATACATAAAATCTATACAAGGACAGGAATTTCATTCCCTTAGGCACTGGTTGTCGTATCATTTATTTTATAGCGTCAATCGGGAAAAACAGACAAGAAATTCTCTATTATGATAGAAACTTGTACTACCATCCATGCGAAAGAGAAGGTCATATAAATTGTTTTATTACGGGAAGTTATTTACTGCAACATTACGCGGCTTCGTAGATTGCTTGATCGAGCAGATGCAAAGTTGTTTGTACAACGCGGGGTTTTTCGTATGTAACATTTTTGTTACATAACAATTTTTAGGGCAAGCTATAACCTTATTTCAATTTTTCTTCCTCATTATAATATAATGAGGAACGACCAGGACTAGGAGCAAACGTCTTTACTTCTAAATTCCTACTACTTTTTCCAAGCAATTTACTATATCACCAGGGGTGATTCGAACAGTATTTGAATGGTAATAAACTTTAGGATTTAACTATGCTAGAGCCTCGCGACAGTCTCCGATGTTCTGACCAATGGGCAGGTCTTTCCGAGTAAGTACCACGGCCTCACAGAAGACCGGCGCGAAGTGGAAGTGTTACACTTCTGCGTTTCGAGGTAGTTGAGGCCAAATTTATTAGAAGGTGGCAACGCATCTGCAATCCTACGCGTGTTGCAAATGTCAATAGGTAGCGGTTTTCATTTAACAATAGGTGAATTGCCACTGTATATTACACTTACACACCACGGATACTTATATTTTTGTGGCGCGTTCAAACAGCGGTGTTTAGTGTTATCGGCGCGTGCTAACCAAGCTCGTCTGTACCACGGCTTATCAGATATTGTATATGTCTAAGAGCGGGGGTGAGCCTGCTCCTAGGCTTATGTCATAAAAAATTTATCACGGATTTTCGCTTGGGTATGATATAATTCACATCTTATAAGATATCATAACGTCAGAAACGGAAAACGTGCAACAGGTAAGCTTAATTCTAATAGCAGATTCTAGTGTTTTATTTTGACGCCAACGGACGTCAGAGGACGGTAGAGATCACAGTTTCACGGCATAACAGCGTCGAGACGTGCTGGCTGAATCTTAAAAACCCTCGCGGAACTAAACGCAGCAGTAATAAATAACTAAACTTGTCCGTGCGATTGCATAGGAGTGTGTTTCCCCGCATTTGCGTACAGAAATAACCATTTGCGAAAGCGCATCTGTATATTCTCGAACGTTCCGTTATCAACTTTATCTTCCGGCGCCATTTTTATTTCAACCGTGCGTAAAGTTATGTCCTCCTGGTTGGGGACAATTCGAGGTTACCGGTTCTAATAAATTCAAATATATTTATTCAATATAGAAGCATTACACTTAATTATGTATTGTCAATAAACATTACTACCAGAGAAGAACCGGCGAAAGAAACTCGTGAGACATTTTTTGAAAATATAATTTGAAACGAAATATTATAAACATGTATACAATATACCTATACTATTCCACTTGAAAGAGCTTGAGGCGATTGATTAATTTCGAAAGTGTGTTATCATTCAAGTAATCACTAACACTACGTTCCTTTACTTGTTTTAATTGTAAGTTGGTTTTTTCAGATTTTCACTGTCGCGAAAATAATATCTTTATTTTGTTCTGGATTCAGCGAAACACAGATTGGGACTCAGTAGGCTATATGAAACATATTACCTATCCTTGTCTACTGTACAAAATCTGAATTGATTCTGATCCAAATGCTTATACGGGTAATGTTTAATCATACATTAGATTCAGTACTACTTAATTTAAAAAAGTGCTAAACATATTTCCGGTTGATATATAAGATGAATCACTCTCATTCACACAATCATCTGATCATTGTTAAATAAGGTGGTTTTATAATTTCCTGTAAAAAAAATATGATAATAAGTGACGCCATCGTTGTTCACATCCAACAAAGGATAAGTATTTTATATAAGTTGACGATCGATGAAAAACTCTCAATTTATGTAAAGTAATAGCCTACATGTCCCACTGGGCAAAGGCCTCTACGTACAGAGGGTATTCAGAAATAGTCCCATCGCGTATTGGCGTACTTCACATATCTTCGCAACGCTTTTTTCTTATTATTTCGAAAATAAGCAGGTTTCCTCGCGATCTTTTTCTTTACCGATGAGCAAGTGATAAGCCAGCGCTTAAAATTAACAATTTCATTGTAGCCGGTGCCGGTATTAGAACTCGGGTTGCTCGAGTGGACAGCGAGCGTCCGAACGCTGAGCTATGTGAGGCTCTATATCAATTCGCTTGATTGATAATAAAGATAACTAAGACGGACAGTGTTTACAAACAAACGTCGGGCCTAGATCACCGTCGCGTATTAGGATCGGGCGCTATCAAAACGCGAACTACTAGTACATCGGACGCGCGGACGTTGCCAAAACTCTGGAGTGCGTTCACCCTGGGAGATTTTTGGCGGCCGACCGGCCCGCGTTGACGGATCCTTCGCTGCGGCGGATCATCCGATTTACGGACGTTGGCGATGGCGCGGGGAAGCCCCGCTTGGCCGCGGCGCCCGTTGGCGCGTCCCTACCCGTCGGCGTGGCGAATTTTTCCCGCGCACCGCCATCTTGCCACGCGCCGTTTTGGCGCGAAACGCAGATGCCCCGCACGGGGGACGAGCGGGGCATCTGCCGCACGTAGTTCCGCGATAAATCCCATCGCCGTTAGCTGAATGCGTAACGAAAACGCATAGGTTGTGCGCATCCAGGCATTTGAGATGCGCGAGCCACGCGGCGAATTTTAATACGCGCTGTTTAAGTCCACTGGAACTGCTGTTGCGGCAAGTCCCCGGTTCAATTTATAATTTATATGTCATATGTCACCACTGTCTTGATATATACTATACTAGCGACCCGCCCCGGCTTCGCATGGGTGCAATGTATTATACATATAAACCTTCCTCTTGAATCACTCTATCTAGTAAAAGAAACCGCATCAAGATCCGTTGCGTAGTTTCAAAGATCTAAGCATACAGGGACAGACAGGCAGCGGGTAGACTTTGTTTTATACTATGTAGTAAAGTGTTTAATCTATCTTTACACAATTATACAGATCGCCATCGTCACTCGCGTGTCTTTGATCGACGCCCGTAGCCGTTGCTTAGTTTGAGCTCTGTGCCCGATGAAGGTTTATATAGAAAAAATCTGAAAGCGCCAATATCAATCTTAAAAAAAAGCCGCCCAAATGCGAGTAGATCTCGCGCATGCTGGGTTCCGTACCATTATCTATTAAAACGGCCAAGAAATGATGCCTGTTGTGGGAGCCTGAAACTGTTTTTTCATTCTGTTTTTTAGTATTTGATGTTATAGCTGCAGCATAAATACGTCATCTGTGAAAATTTCAACTGTCTAACTATCACGGTTCATGAGAGCCTGGTGACAGACGGACTGAAAGATAGACAGTGGAGTCTTAGTATTAGGGTCCCGTTTTACCCTAAAAAAGCACAGGCTCACTTGTTTGGATGCCGATATAGTTGTGGTTATGGGCGATGTACTGCTATGGTAAAATCCAACGCTCATACCTTTCGCATAGCTCGGCCTATTTCGGCATTACGACAAACCGCTCGTAAAGTGCCTCGACAGCAGTACATATCATACAAGTTGTTGAGGTTTACGCGTGATTTGCAAATCACTCAAGACTAGCAAACAAAAGAATCGCCATTGCTACCTATCATGAAATGTCACCCCACATTTGGTTGTACCTGATAGACTCAAAGAATGTGTCGCCCTTTTTATGTGAGAGGGTGGCATACGAGCTGGCGGTTCACCTGATGTTAAGTGATAACCGCCGCCTATGGACATTTGCAACGCATTTGTAACCCGCAAATGCGTTGCCACCTTTAAATAAAGTGGGCCCCGGCTACCACACTCACCAGACGAAACGCAGAAGTGTAATACTTCTACTTTACGACGATCTTCTGTTAGGTTGTGGTATTTACCCGGATGAACCTGCCCATTCGTGCAACAGTGTTCGTTTCGCCAATAAACGAACGAACGAGAGAATCAATAAACATTTTAGGTCTGTAGTTATCAAGGTTAGTTGGCTGAAATATGATGATAGTTTTTAAGGTGTCAAAAAAATCATGCTGTACGAATAAAACTCTGTGAGTGCGCGAGAAAATTGTAGGCGTTCTTCTTTTCTACCCGTGCAAACATGGAGATGTTCGCTAACACTCAATAAAAATATGTTTCTCAACAAAACGATTCAAACATAAATAAAAATCCGATATCCCATCGCTTGAAAGATTGGCAACGCACTTCGTACTCTTCTAGTTATAACGCAGTAAGATAGCTAGCCGTGATAGCTCAGTGTCGCTCGCCTTTAATTCAATTTACTCGGATAAGCCTAGTTCGATTCCTGGTGCCAGTACCAATGAAATTAGCACTTAATATTAACAGTGCTGACTTTACGTGCTCAGCGTTGAAGGAAAACATCATGAGGAAACAAAAAAATTAAAGTAAAGTCCGCCAATCCGCAGTGAGATCGCGTGGTGATGTGGTCTTTAGCTCTTGAGCTTTATAGGCTTTTTTTAGTGCTACCATTGTCAGAACTAATTATTGGTTAATCAGTAAACTGGATTGAGACAACCGTATCATCACATATGGCACTAAAAAAAAAGATAGGTGTAATGGTCTTTACAATCCAACAATTATGATATCGAACTTGCGCAGTCTGATTTCTTTATATGAGAAGGTGGAAAACTAGTAGACTCAACTTAATGTTAACTGATTTATACAACACCATAAATGTAAGCCAGCAAGACCTGCCCTCTTTTTCAGTAGATTTCTTTCATCTTTCTCAATGTCACGGTGCTCGCTTTCAATATACTCTAACACTTAAGTCCAAATCGTGGTGCCTTAGCATCATCAGCATTTCAGCCTGTTCGAGTCCAATGCTGAGCATAGTCCCCCACGTACTGTCACGAGGCACACCGATGACCTTCCACACTGACACAGACATGATGAAGTCGATTACAAAGCGAGCAACTTCGACCAACTTCACTGTATTAACATGGCAAATCAACTTTTTCACATCACTACATAGTATAAAACAAACTCGGCCCGCTGTCTGTCGGTCCGTAATTATGTACGCTTAGATCTTTAAAACTACGCAACGGATCTTGATGCGGAGCTGGGGCGGGTCGCTAGTTCACATATGCTATAATTCCAAGTCATTTAATTACACTATTATCAATTCAATTTAATGTCATTTTCACAAACAAACAGTACCGATACAGGTGATAAATTTTTAGTTATTTTTTTGTTACGCTAAAGTAGCATAACTTCTAAAGTGCGAACATAAGAACATACAAGTAACAAGTACAAAAATGTACTTGTTCCAATTCCTTTGTCAATATCAACAGCGTGTTATATATATCAGTAGATGTCTAATCTCATTATTATTTACGGTCAATTTACAAAGCGTGCATATGACCGGACTATAGTCTTCAGATGTACTAGAAGTTCGTATATTTATATCGCATTACCAACAAGTTGAAGACCAGTAACAGCTGAACTGTTTGCGCAGAAATAGAAAATAGTTTCAAGAACTAAGGCTGGGGACGCAGTGCGGGCGTGGAAGCGGCAAACTTTTGTAATTGACGCGTTCTAAGTTTGTTCCATTAGTCTCTGCGTAAGATACAGAGCATCGTGTTTTAGGGCTATTAATCTTTGAATTTAAAAATTAAAAGTCAATCGTAAAATAGCGAATAACGTAAAAAAGTCAAGTGTAATTTTTACTTGTATCGATAAAATATTAAATGTTACGATGTGTTGTATTTCAGAAAATTCATGAAAGAATACTTGCATATACCATTTAAACGTTTTAAATTTTCTTACAATTGTTAAAGTTACAATAGTAATATTGGAACACACTTAAACATTCTAAACTTTTAAAATTTGTACAAAAATAATCTGTTTCATCTCAAGTGCAGAGATTAGCAATATGAAAATTTAAATTCTAAAATTTTATTCATGTACTACATCACAGGTTTAAAAAACTGTCACTTCTAACATTTAGAGATAAAACATTTAAAGAGCAACACGGACGTGGAACTTATAGACGAAATGACAAACATCAATACTGTCAAATCATACATTTTTTTACATTTAGACTCAAAACATCGTGACTAAAAACGCTCTTACGACAGCCAATAGAAACGCTCCGCTCGTGCGAACCGCGCGCACTCGCCACCCGCGCCGCTTGCACCGCGGCCGGCCTTCCAGCAAAGAGCTAGGCGTAACACCGAGTGGTTCCATTCAAAGTTCCGATGCTAATGCAACCGTTCGATATTATTTCGTCCAACGCCGCGATTGATATCGTATTTTTAAACGGGCAACGTCCGTGGTAACGTTGTAAGCTACGCGTTACCTACCATGTATAAAAAAAGATGTGATAGATTTTAAAACAAGTACAGTTTTACTAAATTTAACCTATGTTTCACTAAAGACTGTCCCGTGACCATGGACGCTGAAAAGGGTTCGAAACGTCGGGGCTTATAATTAGATGCGATAAATCCGTAAATACTGATCGGTTAAGTAATATGTAATGAAATTGTCAAGTACAGTTTTATTAACAAAACATAAACGATTTCACTCATCTCACTTACTATACATTTTCTATTTGAATTTGGGGAGTTCCCTGATGTATTTCTGGAGTTCAAGGTCAAATACCAATGATATTAATATGGGACTGAACCGGATCCAATGAAAAATTATTTACAAAATTGGTTCATAAATGACGGAGTTCCGATATTGCAATCATAAAATTAGATGATAATAATGAAATTAGATGACCATAATATATTTATAAAATAAACTGTGCTACTGAAATCATCAAAATTTAAGAGGAACGGCCGCTGAATAATCAACTAAACAATTACTTAATAATATTTACGGACAAAGTAATAATGAAAAAAAAAATCCACCTTTGGTCTCAATTTCCGTACAATCAATCATAGAGAATAAGGATATCGCAATAAAACACATACGACGAATTACTTTTCGAGCCGAATTTTTATCTTTCTTTACAAACAAAAATGTGTGCTTTGAAAAAATATGTTAACTGCATTCAACTTTGTATCTCCCTCTGGCTTCAGCTATAGAAACAATATTAATCATTAATCATAAAATAAGAATACATGAACGCTAAGCAGTTAAACTAATAACTGTTTTAATTAAACCAATTATCAATATGACTAATGAAAATTGTCACGACGCGGATGCAGCGCTCGGCATCCCACCAGTCCAGCGGGCGATGCTTATCTGGCCCCCAAGCCGGTAGCGCAAACGCATTAAAACACATCAGCTTTATTAGAATTCCCGCTGTACAGCGCTTATGCGCTTATGTTTGGTACGTGCAAGCCTCCGCGCAGACGGGCCAACTGCATTCGTCAGACATAAAGTCCCCGAAGACATCCGGGAGTGAGGGACCGCCCGAGCAACTTGGCCGGTTGGTATTTGCACAATATGTGCACCGTGTTTCTATCGGGCATTCCGTTCTAACTTACATTTGAGGACACGTGAGCATGCCGCAGACATCATTTCGGCGATGGACTTCTAAACTGCCGTAGTGAGGAGGCAAATGAAAACTGATAGGATGGAAGAATTGAAAATGTGATGAGACTCAAAAACTGCTCATTAGGTGATGGCAATAAAACAAAGAAAGATAAAGAAAAAACTAAAGCTGATGATAAAGTAGGAGAGAGGAAAATTTTACTGACTAAGAAACTGCTAATAATGAATATTAAGGATAAAAATAAAATTATTAAGATAAGAAAAATTGCTCATTCGTTCTAACGTACTCGGTGGGCATAATTACAAAACCTATTTTGGTTATCGCATCGAAATTTAACAATGAAAATTCTTGAATTAAATATCGTTGAATAAGACATTTCGGACTAGAATTTATGGATTTCAAACCTTTTGTGAATTAAGCAGACTGCCATTGAAATCCTAGGAATACTTTTCTGAGGGAAATAAGCGTAACTAATAAACTTAAGCGTATTGCACGAAATATCTAAGGTGAATAAAGTTTAACAAAGAAGCTGACGATTTATTTGTTCCTTTCCAACAATAAATAATATATACGTTTAGAGTATAAAGAAGAGTTAAAATACGAGATATTCATATTAAATTCCATAAACGAAATTATAAAAATATAACAAGAAATCTTATTCAATTATTTAAATTAAATACCTTAAGCGAAAAAGATATTCCAAGTATCACACCGATACATAAACTTTAGAGCGGTTAAAACTCTGCCAGAATAACGATAACCGTCACATAACAAACTTAAATAGTAAATAATCAATCAATAACTCGAAATCACGCGTGTTAAACAAGATGCAATTGAAACTCCTGGCGACAGTTGTAAAATCCTTGGTCCGCAATATCCACCCGCCGTTTAAGTTTACGACCCGAAACTTCCGAACAGAAGCCCGACTAACCCGATGGCGGACAGGCTAATATTTTATTTGGCACTCGGTCAATCGACTTCTGGAAGTTTCAAGGTCGGTTAAATAAAGGCCTCAACGTCCGTCCCGATCTTACGCGCCTCCGTTAGAGAAATTGGTGCGTTTTTTTTTGTATATATGAAGACTAATTGTTCTGAACGTGAGTGTTGCTATCACACATCTCAATAAATCAGTCAAAACTGTTCAGTTGGTTTCATGAAGGGTTTCATATCGAGAATTATCTTTTTCATATGTAGTAGGTATACAGTATTTAGTTTACCCAATGGTAAGGTCTTAATGTATACAAGTTTCCTCGATTAATAATTACAATACAAATGTAATGTGTTTATAACGAGGGGTGGTATTTGGTGCTACAACTTTTCCAGTATACCATCACAATTATTTTATAACACAACAAATTTTGACGGTAAGTCTCTATGGAAAGTAAGGACTTTATTCGAAATAAGGATTTGTGAACTGAACCCTTGTTCTAATCTATCTATCGAAATCTATTTCTATCGAAATCAATAGTTGCCAATTTAAGTTAAAGAAGAGAATCATAAATAATGTTTAGCCAATTCTTACTTTCTACTCTTGAGCACGCGTTAGTTATTTCAGAAAAATCAAAACCAAGCCAATATGAAAGCTTAAAACAGCCTTTTTCTATTTAAATCATATAAGAACCCAGATCTGGGTATAATAACAATCCCGTAAGCGAAACAAACAAACGATTATAAGGTACTTCCAATCGCGAAGAATCCCTACTAGAAGGGTATTTAATCTACGTGCAATTACCGTAGATAAGACGCTCTTTCAGTTACGGCTGCCGTAATTTCGGTGAAAAGGGAATACAAAAATTGTGCACAGCAAGGCTACGCTGGCGTCATTTTTTTTTCTGAAAAGTTGCCAAGCGAACAGGCGATTCACCCGATGTTAAATGAATAGCGCCGCCCATGGACGAGCCTGCCCATTCGTGCAACAGCCGAGGCCGCTGCGTGGCCCTACCACAGTTAAAAGTCTATGTAAACATTGACGATATCAAACAGGCCCACATTACAACCAATGCAGGACATTTATATTCAACATACGCGGCACAAGGTGAACGGGGGCCGTTGCACCGGCCGCGCGATTATTTGCAAATGCGCGAATAAAATTCTAATCACGCGCGACGCGTGTTCTTTTTTCTCTCTCCACAATGCCAGCGCAGCGTAAGCGGACCGACGCGCAGTTGTATAATATATGTTATGTTAATGACGGTCGCATTGTGGTACGCGTATTGTCCGTCGATGCGTCAATGTTGCGTAACCCCGGCCTGCTGTGGCGGTAGGCCGTCTCAAGGTTCATCAACGTCTTGTCCCCTTTCCGGAGACATCCGTGTGGCTGTACCATGGGAGTAGAGTTGAACCATAAACCCCCTACCAAGGGCCTGTTAATACCACTTATGGATTAGGTTTTGTATTATCGTGGTAAATGAATATGTAGAAGTGATAACATAAAGTTGTTTTTTTTTTAATGAAAAGTTGCCAAGTGAGCAGGCGGTTCACCTGATGTTAAGTGATTACCGCTAGCCATGGACATCTGCCACACCTGAGGGTTGCAGATGCGCTGACAACTTTTTGACAATTGGGCTTCAGCTACCTCACTCACCAGACGAAACGCGAAAGTATTATACTTCGACTTGACGCCGGTCTTTTGTGAGGTCGTGGTACTTACCCGGACGAGCCTGCCCATTCGTGCAACAGCCGAGTCTGCCGCGTGGCCCTACCACCGTGTAACCCTCTTTCTCTGGATTAAAGTAACTGAGAAGTGAATCTGCTCGGAATAAAATTGTAACTGGATTTGTTGGAGCCACGCAGCAATTAAAGCTTTTGTTGAAACCAATTCACACTATGAAAAGCAGAAAATATTTGATAATAGTCTGTTAGGAACTGTAGGTTAATAGTTGATAATAGTTACAACTATGACCGGCTCATCCGGGGAAAAGGTACAGTCACAGAAGATCAGAGAAGGTTAGAAATACCAGAAATATTATTTTAATACTTCTAAATTACTTAGCAGACGCTAAAGGTAGACAATGCAATTGCAACTGAACCAGTACCATTACACATTCAAGCTGCTAAAAGTAAAAACTAGAATGCACCAATGTTGGAATTGTTACAGTCTGCATTAGTAAACAAAGAGTCCTGTGTCTTTTCCACCGATAGCCGGCTACTAACGGAGATTATAAGGTTAACCTTTCTTTTCTGAGATATGTTTCTTCTTTGAGAGAATATGTTTCATAATAAAACTGTGCTTTTAAAAGCGAACTTATTTCAGTCACAGATTCACACCCTGTCTGCCCGTGGTCCAAACGAGCAAGTAAGAAAAACAAGTTTTAATCAAAAAAGCCGTGGTAAGAATATTAGTATAGCAGAAACAAAAGTATGGTGTTATTTTCACATCTAAACAATCCACAAACAGACAGGTCTCGATGGAACTCGGTGAATTGATGGAAGTACGGCCTATGATTAATGAGGTGCTTGCGCCAGTTTTGAAGTGGATTGCAGGATCATCATTGTTGTTATATCTAGAACTTTATCGTAAAGAGATTCGCTTCGTCATCTTTATATATATATAACTCTTCTGTCCGTGTGTATGTCACTGAGCTCCTAAACGGCCGGACCGATTTTAGGTCGATTCGAGAATGGTTTAGATTCACAATTCGATGTTTTTTTTCTAATTAGTCGTTTCTATTCTAATTAGTAGTTTCTAGTTAGTTAAGTCTGCCACTTGATGAATTTAAACGAAAAATTAAAAGTACACTTATGGCTAAAGCCTATTATACTATTGCCGAATATCTTGACGATGCCAATGTGTGGGGTTAATACTGTTGATACTCACGTAGGCTAAAACAAGACTATTGTACATGTACTATTATATTGTAAACTGATTTTTTTAAAAAGAGCAACTGTTGAGTTTCTTGCCGGTTTCTTCTCAACAGAAACTGCTTTCCGAACCGGTGGTACCTTACGAACGTGTTAATTTCTTGTAAATTTTGACGTTTCATAAGAACGCGCAAGCGTCTATGTGAATAAAGATATTTTTATTATTATTATTATTATTTATTAATTATTAGTTGTTGTCGGATTTAAGTCGCATGTACAGGACAACGTCTGTTGGGCCCACTAGTCCTTACAAATATTATAAACGCGAAAGTTTGTATGTATGGATGGATGTTTATTACTCTTTCACGCAAAAACTACTGAATAGATTTAATGAAGCTTTTAAAATAATATTAGCTTATATATTAGAATAACACATAGGCTATAATTTATAAAGATATTGTGTGAATTGTCCAAAATATAGGTAATGGTAAATGTTGACTAAGTAAGAAAACATTGAAAATTTTATCTGCCAGATATTCTGTTTTATAATAAAAACACATTGTTAATTTTCTGGCCACGCGGGCGAAGCCGCCGTTAACAACTGGCATTTCATACATTTCGATCGGTATTAGCAAATTTAAGTTTTCCATCGTCAAGGCAATAGTTGGCAGATAAAATTACGCAAAAATTCTGAAATACCCTATTAGATTATAAATTATTTTGGTGTAGACCAAACAAGAAGAATCAATATTTCTTCGTTCCACAAGAAGCAATAATGTGTTTCACTAATGTTCTTAGTTTTCATGAAGCATAAAAAACTTGTGAAATTAATTAAATTTAACGGTGGTAGGGCCATGCAGCAGCCTCGGCTGTTGCACGAACGGGCAGGCCCGTCCGGGTAAGTACCACGACCTCACAGTAGACCGGCGTAAAGTGGAAGTATGATAAATACTTTCGCGTTTCGTCTGGTGAGTGAGGTGGCCGGAGCCCAATTTCCAAAAGGTTGTCAACACATCTGGAACCCTCGAGTGTAGCAGATGTCCCCATGGACATCTGATACACTCGAGGTCGGTGAATACCGCCGTCCATACGGCGGTATTCACTTAACATCAGGTGAACCGCCTGCTCGTTTGGCAACTTTTCACAAAAAAAATAGTATAAATTAAAACTACAGAACACAAACTCAGGAATGTACATGTTACCAAAAAAGTTTAAGCAGAAATTTCTCAATGTTATCTAGTACCCATAGTACAAGCGTTTCTTAGTTTGGGACTAGAGAAGTTTAAAAACGAGTCCTAAAATATTCAAAAAAGAAATTATCGGCTTAAAATTGATAACCTATCATCTATCACTATAATAAGTCAGGGTCATATAGAGGACATAAGTTGTTTTATTGATTTAGTTATTTCATTGTCATGATGTAATCTTAGATTACGACCTCACGTCATACGAAGAGACCAATCATATGACTGTAGATGAATTGGTTACCAAGAATCTTAATAATGATGCCCTCCTTTAAAAATCTTGACAGTTACTAAGCTACTAAACGCAGTTTTAATCAGCTGCTACAAGTCGCTTGCAAGTTTTTTCCCTCTTTTAAGTATCACTTCTTTACCGTTTTGTCGGATGTAAGTTAAGCATGTAAGTAAAAACTAGGTTTATATCAAAATGAGTGGTACAGCTCGATTACCGTTTTCACATGACTTCAGATATAGGTGTGGCTATCAAAAGTATGCAACAGCCTCATAACTTTTCGACAGTCCGATACCAAATAAGCAAACTGTTCACGTACACTTTATCACTTATACATACATGAAGTTAATAATGTTAAAGCCATTCTGTGCTGAATAATCAATACTCGTGTTCGACGACACCGCAACGAAATTGTCGTCGTGCATTATTTTGGTACGAGAGTATTCTAATGTATTCCCTTGAAGTTTATGATTATCAACGCAAACGGCGTGTTCCGCGGAATATATAAAACGGACCATTCAATTTCTTTCCACAGACATTTGGACATCAATTTCGTCTTATTTGGAATGTATTTGGTCGATAATAAGCTAGAAGAAAACAAAGACTTGTAATATTTTAAAATCAACATTAATATATTTTGTTACTTCTTAAAGTTAACGAAATAATTCGAGCAAGATCATTAAAGCTTAGTGGTAAATAAACAATAATTAGTGATAGATAAACCTATTTATTCCATTTCACCGGTAAGGTATTTAGATTAATTTTGGATTCGCATGTTTCTAGCTATAATAAATGGGCTCCACTGACGCCAAGCAATATATAGAAATATGACTACTTCTGATACCAAACATTTCTAACAACGATTGCAGATATAAAGACAGTGGTGACAGAATGAAAATACACATTCCGCTCATGGTCTTAATCCCTTAAGGACAACGTGAGATGATATTTTAAAAGCAAATGACGTCATTGCAGTGCCACCGTGCATGTGTTGTGTTGTTGAAATGGCTGGCTTCTTTAAGGGCTTGATTTGTTCCCCAAATCGGTTTCGCGATAGCCACACGTGGCAGTATTTCATATTCCCTTATGGACAACGTGAGATATTTAAAAGCAACCGACGTCGTCCCCTTGCCACCGTCGACGTGTTGATGAAATGGCTGGCTTCTTAAAGGGCTTGATTTGTTCCCCAAACAGGTTTCCGATGGCGACACGTGGTAGGATTCGAGAGGACGTGGTTCCGCAACGCGCGGACATCGACAGAGCGGCACGGAGGCGGGGCCGCGTGCGGGCAGTGCGTACGCATTCAATATTATATGCGCACCCCGCCCAACACCCCGCCTACAAATCAAAGCCAGCGCGTGCCGGTGCATCCTTTTTTCCGTTGCGCCTCCGTCGAATGGTGGCCAGTTAGCATTCTCACCAAGGAGGTCGCGTATCCAACTCAGGCGAAGAACTATGGCAGAGGATAGCGCGAACGGTACATCACTACACCACGGCCGTAGCTAGGGGGGGGGGGGGCATTGTCCCTACCTTAAAATCACAATGCCCTACCTTAAAAATACCAAAATAAAAATGCGTAAATATGACCACGTTTTTCAATTTCGTTTATTCATTCAAAAACTAAGATACATTATTGTAATAACAATTGTAGCGATAGGTATCTCAACTTTTCCGAACATACCACAGTTTGTCAAAATCAAAATAATTTATTTATGGACTTAGGAAACATACATTTCATCTATCGATAGTATTTTTTTAATCTACCACCGTTTCATCATGAGGTTCCTCTAACGGAGAAGAAACAGGCGAAAGAAACTCCGCAATTATCCTCTTATAACTCTTACGTAATTTTATTCTTAAAAAATTAAAATATTATACAACTGTTTTTTTTTTCTTTCTTTTAAGAAATAGCTTGGGTGCGAACTCATTACCAGTGTGTGACATTCATTTCATATTCTAATAATTCTTTGTTCTGTGTACTCGTATAAAATAAGTACCTGGAGGACCGAGCTTTGCTCGTTTTTTTTTTTGGTAAATAATGTATTTTGGAAATAAAAAAAAATAAAGAAAGCGATGATCAGGTATAGAAAAAAAAGTAAAAAAATAAGTGTGTGATCGTGATACGAACCGCGGCCGTCTGTTTTGGGGCCGCCCGATTATCGACCGAGCTATTATAAAAATTTTTTTTGCGGCGAAATTTACCGTCATATTCGAATGATATTTTTCATTCCCTGAAAACAGGGATAAAAGGACAGTTTCTAAAAATGAAACCGATGCTTCGCCCCCGAATCTACGCATATACTGAATTTCATGAAAATCGCTGGAGCCGTTTCCGAGATTCCGATTGTATATATATATATATATATATATATATACAAGAATTGCTCGTTTAAAGGATAAAAGTACCTGGAGGACCAAACTTTGCTCGGTTTGTTTTTTTGTGTAAATCATGTATTTTGGAAATTACATTTAGATACAAATTACTGAGTAATGAAATATGCATAATATTTTTCGATCTTACCGACGTAATAATAATAAAATATGAACTGGTGTTTTTCACACAAGAAAGAACTTTAAAAAAATGGAAAAAAGAACAAAATCATCTGGATCGACAAAAAATAAAAAATAAAGAAAGCCATGATCAGGAATCGAAAAAAAAGTAAAAAAAAACATGTGTGAGCGTGATACGAACCACGGCCTTCTGATTCGGGGCCGCCCGATTACCGACGGAGCTATTATGACATATTTTATTTCGGTGAAATTTACCATCGTATTCGAGTGATATTTTTCATTCCCTGAAAACTGGGATAAAACGACATTTTATAAAAATGAAACCGATGCTTCGCCCCCGAATCTACGCACATACTGAATTTCATGAAAATCGCTGGAGCCGTTTCCGAGATTCCGATTATATATACAGCGTGTCGTTACCACCGCGACAATAAATGAACACACATATAGGGGATAACTTTTTAAAATTGTATTAAGTATTTACATTCTTTAAACACCAATATTTACCGAGTTAGTAAATTTTCCAAAACAAACAATTTTAGAACACCCTTACATATAAAACTGTAACGTAAAGTTCATTTGTAAAGGTCACAAAGCATATGAATGGGTTGAATGTGTTTAAAAGAGACAAAACATACTGTTGGATCATACTGAAAGAGAGGCTTGTAATGCGACGCTGTGGCGCGAGTTGTATAGGATGTTACAAATTTTGTTTCTTTTTTATTTAATTAGTTTGTCTGAAAAATATTTTTTTTAATTATGGATTTTGTTTAACGTTAATTTTTTTTATGATTATTGGCAAGTAGCGTTAGACGTGTGTTCATTTATTGTCGCGATGGTAACGACACGCTCTATATATATATACAAGAATTGCTCGCTTAAAGGATAAGAGATAATAATAAAATAGGCATTTGAATGATGATGATCTAATCAATTCGATTGCAAGTCTCGATGAGTTGGATGTAGATAAAATGCTTCCACTGAAAAGTTTGGGTAGGTTTAAAAAATTTAATAATTCAAGTAGGCTTACTTTAGTAGTCACTTTCGACTCGCGTATGTCATTTACTACGGACATTAATAACGTTCGTAGTAGAGCCGCGTTCGTCTCCGGCCGGCTACACAATTTAACTAACGCTAAAAGTAAAATGCCCTTAAGGCACAAATTATTATTATATAAGACCTGCGTACGACCTATTATGTCCTACGCATGCATGATCTTCGCCCACACGCACCCTACTCGCTTGTACAAGCTGCAAATAGTACAAAATAAGTTCATCCGCCGTGCAACCGGTGCGCAGTGGTATCAACGCAACGTCGATCTGCACAGCGATTGCAGACTCCCGACGATTCGCGAATATTTTAAAGACCTGACCAAACGGTTCTTCGATAGAGCCGAACATCATCCCAATCCCCTGGTGGTAAGCGCAGCAAATTACTAACCCGACACAAACGCGAACGTCAACAAGCGTCGCCCGCGAAACGTCCTCATCGATCCTTTCGAGGAAGGAGACTTAGATACGCCGGCCCCACCGTCGGATAACACTACACCCACAACTAGTGTAACAACAAACACAATAGTTCGCCCTCGCCTCCGAGCACGGCGAGACCAAAACAACGCGTACACAAGGTACACCCGCGTTCCAGGGCGGTTCTCACCGCCCCCAGCCACCGATTAGATAAAAACACAGTCGACGGCCATCGGGGTCTTGGTCCGCACCGCAACTTCGATGGCCCTTAGATGACATGTCGTAGTTAAACGCACGCATGAGCACATGCGTGGCCCTACCCACAGCGGAGGGCCCAAACCCGTGGGTTCTGGCTAGACCACCGGTTCTGCGTCAGATGAAGCTTTAATAGTCTCGGGGCTTAAAGTAAAAACATCAGTTAATACAAGATACAAGAAGGAGCTCATGCTTCGAGGGCAAATCAATCATGATAAATTTCATTTAATTGTTTACTTCCGCCCTACCTGTAATCAATGCTGCCCTACCTCAAATTCAACTCTAGCTACAGCCCTGCACTACACTGAACGGTACCTCTCTGATTTAACTATTATCATTTCATTGAACTAAACTAGGTGTATTCTATTGACTGTTACACCTTAGTTACAAGCCTTGAATGGCCAGTGAAAATTCAAGCGATATTCCGAAAGATCTTACACCAGAAAAATTTATATCGTTTAATTCAATTGTTATAACTATTGACGTATTAAATACTTTTTTTATTCATTCATTGCTAGCCCGAGCGACAGTAAACTTATATTATTAAACATCAGTGATCACGAAAAATGAACATCCATAAATTTTTTTATCTTCATAGTTATAGAGCAACAACAAGAATTCTAGAAATTATTTGGGGTCTTTCCAAATGCAATTATTTAAAAAACTTGGTTACCGACAATTTTGCGTTCCACATTCCATAAGCAGTGTCACGTCGCTGAACTACAAAGCGTGTACTTTTGCTTCCAGATAGAAAACTACCCCATGTTTACTTTTTAAATCAGTTCTGTGTTTTCAATTTTGTTTTGGGTGAACAGTTGTCAAACGATCAAGCGGTTCACCTGATGTCAAGTGATTACCGCCGCCCGAAGACATTTAAAACACCCGACTGATTACACATGCGTTGAGAACTTTTTAAAAAGTGGGCCCCCGGCTATCTCACTCATCAGACTAAAAGAAAAAGTAGAATAGACGCCGCAGTGGTCTTCCGTGGGTCCGTGGTACTTACCCGGACGAGGCTGCCCACTCGTGCAATAGAAGCTGATACCTGATATCAGCATATTATACTATTGCTGAATATCTCGACGACGCCAATGTGTGGGGTTAATACTGTTGATACTCACGTAGGCTAAAACAAGACTATTATACCTGTAATATTATATTGTAAACTGACCTTTTAAAAAAGAGCAACTGTTGAGTTTCTTGCCGGTTTCTTCTCAACAGAAACTGCTTCCCGAACCGGTGGTAACTTACGAACATAGTAATTTCCTTGTAAAATTTCGACGTTTCATAAGAACGCGCAAGCGTCTATGTGAATGAAGATATTTTATTATATTATTATTATTATTATATCAACTGATCAAGTCTATAAAACAAAGCGTTCAAAAACGCAACAGGTTTTCGTTCGACAGGCCAGTACTAAGCCGAAATCGCCCCTTCACAATGTAAGCCATTCGAAATGGTACACCTAGTGCGCTTTCAATTGGATCGGCGGCTAATTACCATTATTGGGCCCGCGGAAAACCGCGTCGGCTAACGGCCGTCCGTGTGTCGCCTCGCCCGCAGCGGCCGTGTCGCTTTGGATAAATTCGATTTGGCGCGTTCGTTTTTTTTTTTTTATAAACGTTTTCGGATAATTTTTTTTTTAATTTTTATAAATATTGTGCTAACGAAGAGCGGTTTTTGAAATTGGAATTAGCTGCGTAATGGAAGTGACAGTTCGCAGATACATAATCTATGATGTCATTTCCATTACGCAGGTTAAAATGTGTTTTTGTTGGTAATCCATAACTTATTTAATTGGTCATCAAATTTAATGTCTCCAATGCCATTTTAAAGATTATGTTTGACGCTATTGACTGAATATAGACAAGTAGAACATAGTTCTTTTTGTTTTTTTAATTTTTTTAAACAATGCCCTTACTTTAGGATAACATTATCCTGTGTTGTAAGGACGTTCATCGGCGGTTCAGCCACGGATACGTCAAGTAAGTTCGTATTCACAAAAATGATAAGTTTAAAAATTTCTCACAAATAATTTAAATAATTTCGCACGCGACAATCAGTAGTATAATTTTTTTGAAAATAAACGCCTTGAAGTAGTTTCGACTTTTACAAAAGGAGAATTGTAATTTGATGTTCCCTGCTTATCGAGTTCTTAACGCGAGGCTTCATCGGACACTGGGTGCAGAGATAAAGTACGTTATATTGCAGTGACTGTGATGATACGAGATACGACGTAAGAAAAATTAAAACCTCGCAATAATGCCTCTATAATAGGGGCCACGTAACGGTGGTAGGGCCACACAGCAGCCTCGGTTTTGCACGAATGGGCAGGCCCGTCCGGGTAAGTACCACGACCTCACAGAAGACCAGCGTAAAGTGGACGTATGACAAATACTTTCGCGTTTCGTCTGGGAGTGAGATAGCCGGAGCCCAATTTTCAAAAGGTTGTCAACGCATCTGTAAACGCATCTGTGTGGCAGATGTCTTTGGGCGGCGGTATTCACTTAACATCAGATGAACCGTCTGCTCGTTTGACAACTTTTCGCATAAAAAAATAATAGAAAAATCTCAAATCCAACTTGACACACATGTGTCTGGATTACAAAGATTAATAAAGGTCCACAATCTGCATGAAAACGATTCACATTGCATTATCACCAGCGTTGCCAGTTCATAATACACAATTTCGGGAGTAATCTTCACACTTAACCGCGTCGATTTCTGGCAACACTGATTAGCGCCGACGAAATGTTGCAATATTAGAATTAACGAACCAGCCTGCACTGGCCTCGTTACGGGAAGCATCGGACGCCGTAATGAGGGGGCGCGCGTGTGCAAAACGGCTTTTTATTATGTACTAGCGACCCGCCCCGGCTTCGCGCGGGTGCAATGTATTACACATATAAACCTTCCACTTGAATCACTCTATCTAGTAAAAAAAACTTAAAGATCTAAGCATACATAGGGACAGACAGACAGCGGGACCACTTTGTTTTATACTATGTAGTAAAACGACTCAATCGAAAAGTGAGCTTCGACTAATTAGGCGAGAGAGAGCTGAAGGGAGAAGGGAAAGCCGTAATGAAGAGTCGTAACGATGTCCTTCTCCGTATGTCCGATGACCCGAATGGCGTAGTGGGTAGTGTACCTGCGTCCTGCGTCAGAGGGTGAGGTTTCGATCCCCACTATTGGAGAAATATTGTGTCATGACCATAGTGTGTTTCTAGTGCCTGGGTGTAATATGTATTTATTTACAAAAGAAAACTATGTTTAAGTATGTTTATCAGTTATCTAGTACCCATAGTATAAGCGTTGCTAAGTTTGGCACTAGAGAACGTTTTGTAAAAATGTGTCCTGAAAATATTTATTTATTTACTTATATCAACCAAATAATGATTTCCTTTTGTAATGTGTAAAACTTGGAAACTCATGAACATTGTTTTAATTTTTATTAATAGACTAAAACTAAAACTAAAACTATTCTAAGTTCTTCATCATCTAATCAACTTTTTAAGTTAGCAACGATGTTAATATAACACACCATTAATAAATCAGGCTTTAACCAAACGGTTTTCAAAAAACACGCTCGAATACAAAAAGTACCAAGACAAAGTCATCGTTTTAAATCGTACAAAACGCAAGTAATGCCGCCAAATTGAAAATATAGATCATTATATACAGTTTTATACGCAACCTGGATACTTTTAATTTGTCGATTGAGATGAAAAGACAACACTTCAAAAACAAGCACCGTATGTGATGTCAAAAACGAAAACTTTATGTCGTATCAAAACCTTTAGCATTAGGTAAATAAAACTATTGCACATCTCATATATACACGTCCGTTATTATTTTTCCTTCACGCTTAGAGTTTTTCTCGAGCGACCCATAAAACTGGAACTCCGTCGAACTTTGACGTGGCCGTGTTGATCAGATCTCGTGAGGCGTTACTTCGCGGCGGAGATGAAATAACTTTCTTTTTAATCTAGCGACGATGTTTTAGCAGTGTACGGTATACTTTACAACACGTGACTTATTGACGAAGATTTCTTCCACTAAATAAGTTAACCCACACCAATTAATCGGATAAGTTTATTGAATTGACGTTACGACACAATCAGCAATAGTCTGTAACGCTATCATGATATTATCAGCCTTGAATTCAACATCGACTATGAAGAATCCCTTTGTATTTAAAATATGCATACTTTGTTGCATTAAAACCAAAGTAAAGTAACAGCCTATATATCTCCTGTACCCAATGCCCATGTTCTAAGCAAAGGCCTCTTCCGTACAGTGGGCATTAGTGCACAGTCCACCACACTTCGGAATATTTTTGTGTTATTTTTTCTAAAAACATGCAGGTTTCCTCACGATGATTTTCTTCACCGCTAAGCGCGTGGTAATTCAAGATTTTATATTGTCCGTTTCATTGGTGCTGGAACCTTGATTTGAACCCAGGTTGACTGAGTTATCACGGCAAGCTTCTATTGTAATATTTTAAACTGCTTCGAAAATTTCTATTGATAGTTTTTTTTCTATTCTATTATTAAGTAAAAGTGTCTGTTACAAAATCAGTAACACCTTTGAATTATGTTTCTGTTTCAATAACAAGTCAACGGAAAACAAAACCGACTTCAAATATCTCTCTCTGTATTCATTTTACAATTGATTTTCAGGAGTTCCCTACGTATCTCCGGAGCCCGAGATCCAATACCAACGAAATAAATATGGGACTACATGAGAAGCACCAGTTTTCAAATAAAAAAATAAATCATCTAAATCGGTTCACGCGGTCGAAAGTTCTGAGGTAACAAAAAAAAAATACAGTCGAATTAGGAACCTCCTCGTAAAGTAAAACGGGGCTCATCAACAAACAACAATTACAAACTGAGGAACAACAATCGTCGGGCGACGATGGCGGAGCAACACTAAATCCGGGTGCTGCGACCAGTTCCCACCTAATCCCGCAAACCGAGCCCGTTGTACGGGAACCGTCGGGAAATTATTCACATGCGCCCTAACAGCCGGAATCTCGCTAAGACGTAGACGTCTGGAACGTACGCGATGACGCTTAACGACAATCGTATGCAAATAGTCCCCCGTGTCGTCCCGGGATACGGCTGGATTACAACAACCAACATCACTAATCCCCTTATAAGTTAGCCGCACCGTTGTCGGCAGCTTAAGCGTAAGATATTGTGTCCGTATGTTTGAATATCGGCTGTGATATATACACTGGCAAATATTGGTTCGATGCTTCTAACAATATTGGGGGCGAGTGATTTGGCGATGATAGAGCGGCGACACTAGTGGTGTGCCCGAGGGAACCCCACACATAGAGAACCGCATTTTGATAGTGATCAATGCAATATTGCCCGGAGTGGATTATGTTAAGAAGAGAATGCACTTTAACATAAAATAAACGACGTCAAACGCGCAGCACATTCTAAACGAACGCTGATCATCAATCCATAGCATAAATCACATACGGAGAAAACACTTGAAATGCTAGCCCGTCCGCTATGCACACTCTGAATACGAAATAACATAGAAAATATCTCAAAGAGCCTCGCTGCGTGTAAAAACGGATAAATCAAAACGAAATGGAATAAGAAAAGGAGACAAAAGTCACGTCCACACTTGAGTGGAGCGTTTTAATAGTCCGACGTCGTTAGCGAAGGGAAAGAAGTAATTAAAAATTCGACAAATGAATTACGAGGAGTGAGAATCACCAAGTACCGGCTTTAGCAGCCAACGGATAGGTGTGAGTAAACACTCCATGATCGCGGAGTAAAAAAAATGTGCAACTGTTGAACTATAAACAAGATAGCGTTTGGCAAAGCTGCAAGGCTCTCCCGATTAGACTGCGCCATCATTCCGCCGGTTCATTCAATATTTTTTTTTCTAACGAACGCCGTAATTTCTTGGCTCGAACGCATCCGTTTACATGCCAAACAATAAATTTATTAGTCGAACCGGAGGAGTGGCAACACCGGCCCAGCGTCACTCGTCGATACGTCACCGATTGCGTCGCGTTTTTGGACAATTCCGAAATCGAAATTTCGCGTGCTGCCCAATCGATTCGCGCGCCACGTGAATTATATAACGCACGGCCCGTCAAGGTGACTCGTCCGTAGCCACTACTGGATCTATTTCGGTTCGAATTTCATAAATATCCCGTGACAGCTCATCTCTCCTCTCCCGCGTCTTTTGCCGCCACCGTGCGGCGGCCATCTTTGACGGCGGGCTTGCGTAATTACCGGGGGCGCTGGTGTCGCACACAGAAATACCGCGGCTCGTCCCAAGCCCGCGTCCTTGCTAATTTTAAAGTCCTTACCGAAAGTTCGACGTTTATGAGGTAATAGCGTTGTGACGTAGCGCTGGCAGCTTGCCGGACTCCGTACGGCGGGCGGACGCAAAAATCGGACCGGAGCGGCCGCGTGCTACGCTATTATTAGCCGTGTCCCCGCAACGCACCTTCAGGGACGCGAGAAACCAACTAGAAGTACCGAACCCCGTACCAGAAACGCAAGAGCGCGAACCCGAACCAACGGACCGCCGGGCCTGATCGGAAAACTAATCGTATATTATCTGTGCATGTCCGGGCGGCAGATGCGCTAACCGAAATTGCAGCCGCCCCGCCATCAATATCGGCGACCTAATTGAATATTATACGGCAATTTGTGTTGGCCGAAAATCTGGCTGCGAGTGTGCGGTCCCCATATATTGTCGGGCGGCCGGTGTTAATGTTACGGTATGGGGGCGACACGATGCGATGCAGTGTTGCAGAACTAAATTTAGCCGAGCGCTGTTTTAGCTCCGGGCCTTAGCGTTTGCGCAACGCCGCCCCGCGCCCGCGAGCGGGGCGGCAAGTTCTATTATCGGAAAAATGGACCGATGGCCATTGGGAAATATTGTCGCGCTCATGCCCGTTTCTTTCCACTAGCAGCACCAGATACTATAAGGCCAACGCACGGAGGTGACACTCCCTGCGACAATAGTAGTGATAGAGATTAGATAGCTTTACAATTTACTCAGCTTTCATGGCCAGCTTCTTCCATTATCACGTGCTCAGCGGTGAAGGAAAACATCGTGAGGAAATTTCGAAATAATAACAAAAAAAAATATTTCGAAGATATGCGAAGTCCGCCAATCCGCAGTGGGGCCGCTTGGTGGACTATGCCCTGATACCCTCTGAACAGAGGAGGCCTTTGCCCAGGGATATGTACAGGCTGATACTTTCATGGCCAGCATCTACCAAAGTATGTAGTCAGTAGTAGCGCCCATAGACTCTTTTGTGTCGGTAGCAGTTTGCGGTTTTGCGATAATAGTAGTGATTGAGATTAGATAGCTTTATAAGTTACTCAGATGTGACGGCCTGCTTATACGAAGGTACGTAGTTAGTAGCTCATAGATTCTCTTGTGTTGGTGGCAGTTTGTGGTTTTTAGCTACGATTCAAGGTCGGCGCGGGAAACAAAACGCCCTCGGACTTCACCGGACCAAATCTGTCAGATCGCATTCGAGATTACTTCGAACACTAATTAAGTCGTGTAATTAAATCTGGGATAATGATGCAGTGATGCAATAATATTTCTAGTCTCGGATGCGATATTACGTATAACGTAGAGAAGAAGAGATGAAAAGAATGTATAATTTCTAACGAAATTATTTAAACTCACAGACTAACTGACCAGCTTATTCGAAAACGTGCAGTTTGTACTCCCTTTCTCATAGTAGAGGTCTTAGTCAAATAAAAATATTTTTAATTTAAGATTATGACTACAAAGAGCCGTGATAGCTCAGTGTCCGGGCGCTCGCCTTTAATTCAATATACTCGAGCAACCTGAGTTCGATCCCCAGTGCCGGCACCAATGAAGTTTTTAACTTTAAGTGCTGACTTATCACGTGCTCCGTGGTGAGGGAAAACATCGTGAGGAAACCTGCATATTTTCGAAATAATAATATTTCGAAGGTATTTGAAGTCCGTCAATCCGCAGTAGACCGCGTGGTGGTATGCCCTGATACCCTCTGTACAGAGGAGGCCTTTGCCCAGCAGTGGGACATGTGTGACTTTTATTCCATAAATATAGACAGGTCCAAAGCAATTTTACAGTTAAACTACAAGAAATTCTACAGTCGAGTACACACAGTACCATAATACACGAAGTTTGAAAGAGGCATCAAGAAGACAAATCCCTTAATTTGGCAATACTGATTATTTCCCTAAAATTTTGATAGTCAAATTGATTTTTGGCATTTTTATACATTTTACTTATCAGATCTATCTAATGTCTTATTAGTGAAGAGAGCATTTTTGCGTGAACCGTTACATTATCAAAAATATGTACAACAACTGTAGCTGTAGCAGAAATGCTTTCTTCTCTAGTAATAATACGCCACGTCTAGACTCAAGACGTAAACTACCCGAACCTTTATTTTTTCTTACAAATATAAAACAACTCAAAGCCAAACTAAGCTAAACTCGTACTGGTACTGGGTTACTGCCGAATACTTCTCTTTTAAATATACATATTAGAGAATTGTAAATATATACATATTATAGAAATACCCAGGCACTAAAAAAATATCTTCATCACACAACATTATTTCAGTAGTGGGGCTCGAAGCCAGACTCTCTGGTGCTAGACAGGAACACTAACTACTGCACCAATTGGATCGATCTACCACGTAAAACTTGATAATAATATGCAAAGGAGCCTAGTTTAGCAATTGAAGGTAATTTAGATTTATTAGCTTCACTTATCTTTTGATGATTAACTTCCAACGTTGCTTTTTTAAAAAAATAACAGGATGAAAAATTCGTCTTGCTATCATTCCTTCCACACTGCATGAGATGAAGCATGACGTAATTTGATATCTGCCATAGTAAAGGTCAATCAGAAATGAAAAAAATAGATTCTACCAATCCTTAGTCGGCTCTACATTTTTCCATTTCCTCCTCGACGTCGGCTAACTACCAAAGTGAGGGCTTTAAATTCGATTATAATACGGCCGATTTCCGCGCAACGTGCAAATTATCGGAATTTCCGTTGCGGACGGCGCATTCGAACTTTTGCCCGATCGCATCGCGCACTCGCTCCGGAATACAAATTTGGGGGGGTCGTGACCTCTATGACCCCCCCAGGGTCCGCTCATCGCATATGCATTACGTATGTCTGTGATGGATTTTCAAAAGAAATCTTTATAAATGCTTAGCTTAGAAAATAATCCAACTAATAACGTTGACGTTACGATTAAAATACAAATCTAAATTCAAATATCTTTAATAAATTTAGAAGCACATTACACTTACTTCGTCAAAATTCGGAAAAGAAAATCCAAGGGCCTGAGAAGAACCGGCGGAAGAAACTCAGGGGGCATATTTTTTACCATTATTTGACGGTTAGGTGATAAGAATCTTACAACCCTATAAGCACTGACGCAAAAGGATTCCACAAAAATATCGGAAGAAGTTGTCGAGATTGTGCTGACTGAAAGAGAATGTCGTATGGATTTAAAAGACGAATAAAGAAAATACGAATTTTCTTAGCATTTAGCACGAATGTGAGGTAAAACATAATAAGGGGATTCCCAAAGCGAAACATAAATTAAATCTCCTTATAAACTATTGAAATTCAAGTTTAGTTGAAACATTTACTTCAGTATTCAATACGTAATAACTAAATATTAATACCTTAGTAAATAATTCAAAAAACTAAATTGAACTACCCGTCTTAAATACATTTCTGTCATATACGCTGACGAAATTTATCTTTTCCGTAATACACCACAGAAATGTTTAAGTATTATTCTTATTAATTTAAAAGCTAAATTGGGTAATCATCGGAATATAAATCAAAGCGTTCATTAACAACAGCTGCTTTGATTCTTTATAGACAACGCTACTACGTGGCGATTTTACGTTAACGTACTACGTTCGAAATTAATTCTTGCAGTGCTTTAAAGCAATAAATACGCTTAACGGAGCACATTTTGGCCATGGGCCATGAGTCATTATTAAAACCGACCCGCCCTTAAAGTACTAAAAACTTTACTCTCGTATTAAAAAAAGACTCTACCACTCTACGTTTCACTCACTTCGTGGTAGTGAGAACTGCACAAGGTCACTGCTTCGGGTCTTAAAGTCTTATCGATTGTGGTTGCATTTGAGCGTTTCGCGTGGCAATTAAAGTGGCAGGGCCACGCATCAGCATCTGCTGTTGCACGAATGGGCAGCCTCGTCCGGGAAAGTACCACCGATGACGAGCGTGTATCTAATGTACTTTCGCGTTTTTTTTATGTCAAAAAGTGGCAAACGCGCTAGCGGTTCACCTGATGTAAAGTAATAACCACCGCCCATGGACATTTGCAAAACACATAGGGATGGAGATGCGTTGCCACCTTAAAATAAAGTGGCCCCCGGCTACCTCACTCACCAGACGAAACGCAGAAGAGTATCACTTCTACTTTACGCCGATATTATGTTTTGTGTATCTGGGGCGCACTTTTCAAAGGTCGGCAACGCATCTGCAACACGTAAGGTGTTACGCCACTAAACATCTGATGAACAAACAGCGTGAAAGGATATAACAATAGATGCGTCAAGCATTGCTTCAAATGCTAAATAACAATGTAGAAAGAAGGCGTTAAGATTATCGTCGCTGTGGCTATCAGCCGTTTAGCTCAGTGGCTAGAGCGTCAGGCCGCGAATGCCGAAGACGTGGGTTCGATTCCCACAGCGGCGACAATCTTTTCGTACTTTTTCTACATGTTTTAACCAGCTCGCTTAACAGTTTTGACATAAAAAATGCAGTAAGTGTTTATGACGATAGAGCAGGTCTTAATTTAAAATCAATTGTCGTCTAGTAAATACCGTGCACTAATATATAGCGCGTTCTGCGTTTTCATATAATTATGTCCTCTTATAGGTCATCGACGGTTCTCCACGAAACGGTATTATCAAATCAAATCATTTATTCATCGAAATAAGAAATATACGTTTCATTTATCTATAGTCATTTTTTAAATCTACCACCATTTCGTAATGAGATTCCTCTAACGGAGAAGAAACAGGCGAAAGAAACTCCGGAGGTATCCTCTTTTTGTCATTTTTTTCTCAAACAAATACATTGTTATACAATACATATTTTTAGAAACAGCTTAGGAGCGATCATCTCATTCCCAGCATAGATTAACACTATATATTAATATGCAAACCGAAACATTGATTGGCATTTTTCCCGTTTCTCTACAGGGTAATTAAACTAAAAAACAATTCGATAGTAATTGGGTTGTAGTTACATAAAAAGGAGTGGACTTTTGTTATAGACAAATATTAACATAACGCGCATTTTAATTTCACCAAAACAATTTAGATTAGATGACTCATTACTCACACATATATAAGTGGTCGAATCTGACCGCAGACGATACGTTTACGATATTAATTGGTAGATGGCTGATATGAATAATAATATACTCTCAGATTCAAAGTCAATGTCAATGTCAAAGTCAAAAGATTTATATTCAATTCAGGTTTGTGTTCGTGAAAGTTCAGATTTACC